AGGAAAGAAGGGAAAAGAAAAAATATGAGAAAAGGAAAAAATGGAAACAAAGTCTTTGCAAATAGGGAAGGGTGGAGGGGGTGAAGGGAGGGCAGGGAAAGGGGAAAAAAATAAGAACCAAGATACTCATGTCATGGAACATAATAAGATCCCAATGATGTATGTAACTGTATTTTATACCTAAAATGTACCAATAAACTTAATGGGGGGGGGGATCTAAAATCTGTTGCTTGGAAGTTCAGTTGATGACTTTTGGCAACTAACATTTCCTTTTATAATAGTTTAGCATTCCAGATTTGAAAATCCAAAATTTGAAATGCTCTAAAATCCAAAACTTCTTAAATTTTGCTACATAATGCTCCAAATGTTTTGGATTTTATAGCATTTCAGATTTCAGATTTTTGGATCAGGGATGCTCAACTGGTAAAGTCTATGAAAATATTCCAAAATCTGACAAAAAGAAGAAAAAAAACCAAGTCTAGAATCTGAAACACGTCCAGTCCCCACCATTTCATAAGGGAGATTTAGCCTGTGTAGAAAATCAACATCTTTCACAATCACCACTCACTCTAGAATTATTTCACACTCTAGCAATGTGTACATCTCTCCTCCAACTGACTGGCAGAATCTCAACCTACAAAGCAACATATGACAGTTTCTCACCCCAATTACAGATCTCCTCTTCTAACGTCCTCGTGATTGTTTTGACTTATAACCTGTCACTTGGACTTACAACCAGTCTTGTATTTTTGCTTTTTTTTTAACTTGACGTTTTTTTCTTTTTTTTTCATTAAGTTTATTGGTACATTTTAGGTATACGATATCATGACATTCATCATTGGGAATTTGTACCTTTACATGATATATCTTGGTTCTTATTTTTTCCCCATTCGTTTGGCCTTCCTTCAACCCCTCCACCCCTCCCTATTTACAAAGACTTTGTTTCCATTTTTTCCTTTTCTCATATTTTTTCCTTTCCCTTCTTACCTTTCCCCTATTCCTCCCACTTCCTCCTCCCCTTTAGACCTTTTCTTCCTGTTTCACATTATCTATTATACATTTTGATCCTTATTTACACTTGCAGTCTCTCACACTAGAGAAACTCTTCGGTATTTACACCTGTGTGTCCTATTCATTTCACTTAAGAGTATGGAGTCAATGTGCATCCATTTAGCTATAAATGACTCTAGTTTCTCATTCTTTATGGGTGAGTAGTATCTCATTTTATTTTTTAAAAAACCACACATTTTCTTTATCCAGTCTCCAGTTGATAGGCAATTGAGCTGTTTCCAAGCTTTAGCCATTACAAACTGTGCCACTATAAACATGGGTGAGCATGTATCACTGTGGTATGATTCTTTTTATTCTTTTGGAAGATACAGCAGGGAAATAGCTGGGTCAAATGGGACCTCTAATCCTAGTTTTCTGAGGTATCTCCATATTGATTGCCACAGGGCAGTCTTGTATTTTTGTACACTTCTGAACACCTTGTTTATAGAGCCTCAATGTGTTTTTCTGTTCAGTACACCTTGTTTATATAGTACTGTAATTTTTTTTTTTTTTGGTACAGGAGATTGCAGGTGCAGTGCCACTGAACTAAATCCCTGGCCCAGTACTGTAATTTTTGAGAGCTTGTTTGGACGTTCTAGCAGGGGAGCACGGCTATTCGTATGCCCTTGATGGAGGAAATGGTCCTCCTCTGTCAGGGGTGTTCAGTACACCTTGTTTATATAGTACTGTAATTTTTTTTTTTTTTGGTACAGGAGATTGCAGGTGCAGTGCCACTGAACTAAATCCCTGGCCCAGTACTGTAATTTTTGAGAGCTTGTTTGGACGTTCTAGCAGGGGAGCACGGCTATTCGTATGCCCTTGATGGAGGAAATGGTCCTCCTCTGTCAGGGGTGGTTGTCCTCTTTGAAGGAGCGCACAGCTTCCGGAGGGACAAACACACATGGAGTGATGAGGGAGGAAGGGAACACCCACCTCGCCATCCAGATCAGCAGAATCAACCCTGGCGATCAATGGGGTGACAGATGTTGCAGCCAGATCACCCTCACATCTAAGTACTGTGATTTTTGCTGATTGTACAGTACAGCACTGTGGTTTTACATTCTGCTGTACATTCCAGTACTGCATGTAAGAGTTATGCAAATAAAAGCAAAGTCATCAAGTTGGAGTTTCCTTTGACCATTTCTTTGTTCTGAACATTGTAACACACGTGCCATATACAACTCCTTATTTAGTGACCAATCCATTTAACGAGCCGGTTGGAGGAACACCCATACTTCCAGGATGCTTGTTTCAAAGTGACAATGCCCAGGCCACCCAAAGATCAGAGTGACATGGCTGTTCATGACTCTGAACTGCTAAGGCTGTTAGATGTGACAGTCACCTACACATCCACTGATGGTGATCACATCCGACCGGCGCAGAGCTCACCTTTGGCTGAAGAGAAGCACAAATGGACCCCTGGTACTAAATCCTTCCATCCAACCCTTCTCCAGCCCTTAACTACTGAGTCACATTCTCTAAAATGCCTTTGGGCAGGGCATGATGGTGTGTGCCTGTCATCCCAGCACTTGGGAGGCCGAGGCAGGAGGACTGCCATGAGTTTCAAGCCAGCCTGGGCTACATAGCAAGTTCAAGGTCAGCCTAGACCTTGTCTCAAAAAAACAAATAAATAAACAAAGAAGTGAATAAATAAATAAAATGCCTCTGAGATCTCTCCTCACCCATGCTACACCCGTGTCCTGGAGCTCCTGGTGCATGTCAGCCACTTGGTCACCTTCCAGGTCCTTCCATTCCCAGTCCCAGTGGCTCTGCTTTTGGCTCCACATCAAACAACTCTTTCAAAAGGCCACAGCCCAGAGCCTGTCAGCTCTGGGACATCCCCCTCGGTGGCCACAGGCCCTTCCTCTGCAGGTCCCGCTTACCAATCACTCAGAGACCTCCAGTTTCTTACTTGACCCCCTGCCCCAGCCTCTGTCCATACCTTCCCAGCTCCAGGTGCATGAACACCTTTCACCAGCAACTCTGCAGAGCAGCCTGGCCCCTCCGACCCTCAGCACTGTCCTTACCAAGCACTGGCCCTGGACTGGCCCAACATTTCCCCACCTGGCCCCAGGCAGTGGAGACAGAACTCAGGGCTCTGGGATTGGCACCGTGGTGAAGTGGAAGCCTTGAGCCCTGTCGCCGGCAGTTGCCAGCCCGGCCTCACCAACCTCACCGAGCTTCGCTGCCCTGGCTGCCCTCCTGCTCACCAGACCAGCCCGACTTCTAACCCAGGGTGCTCCTGAAGGCGGCCCTGCACAGCCAGGCTCCGTGTCCTTCCCTCTCCTGCCACCCAGCCCTGCAAGTGGAGGTCACTGCATGAGTTGTCCAGGCACAGCCCGTGCACTCACGCGCTGTCTCCTGTTGCCACTGCATACAAGCTGAAGCCCCCAGGCTCCGTGTCAGCCAGACTCACCTCCCACTGCACGGTCTGAAACCAGTCTCTTCCTCTTTCTGGGAAACCTGCCGCTTTTGTTGCCTTGTTCCCAGTGGTCATCATCCAGTATTCAGGACAAAACCCCAACTGTCTCTCCCTCATCCCCCATCCAATCAGCCACTGGATTCCATCCACGGATTCAATCTCTGGACTGACATCTGGCAGGTTCAGTCCCTGTTCTTGGGCCCATGAAGGTTTTTAGCCCTGATACAGTGCTATGGTCTGGATATGGGTTGAGTGTGAACCCCAAGATTTCACGTGTCAAAATTTAACTCCTACTGTGAAGTTCAAGAAGTGAAAACTAGCTGGGCATGGCAGTACATGCCTAGAATCCCAGCTATTTGGGAAGTGAGGCAGGGGGATTGCCAAGTCCAAAGCCAGCCTGAGCTGACTTAGTGAGACCCTGTCTCAAAATTAAAAAGCAGGTGGGGATGTAGCTCAGCGCTCCTTGAGTTCAACACCCAGTGCCATTGAAACAAACAAACCAAAAGGTAAAAATCTAATTCACCTATGGTGTTTAGAGGTAAGGGTTTGGGAGGATTAGCAAAGGTCATCAGGGTTACCCCATGACTGAGTCTTGGAAACTTTATAAGAATAGGGAGAGAAGTTGGGTGCAGTGGTGCATGCCTGAAATCCCAGCTACTCGGGAGGCTGAGGCAGGAAGATCTAAGTTCAAAGCCAACCTGGGTAACTTAGTGAGACCCTGTCTCAAAATAAAAAGAACTGGGGATGTAGCTCAGGGGTAGAGAACCCCTGGATTCAATCCCCAAACCACAAAAAAGGAAAGGGGGGGACCACACAGACACCAAGACACACACATGCACTCTGTCTCTTGCCATGTAGGGTGGCCCGTGCCACCTCAGGTCTCAGAAGGCCATCACTGAACGCAGGCTCTGGGACCTCTGGACCTGCGAGCTACAGAAACCTCTTCTCTCCATCAGGGCATCCCGGCCCAAGCCCTTGGCATCAGAGTACTGGTGACTGGGCAGCTGCTTTGGAGATGCCACACCACTTTCCATCTGCTTGCTTTCACAGAGTCCTCACAGTCCCTCAGCCAAGAAGGGGAGCCTGTGTCCTTACTCTGACCAAGGGACACCGCCAAAGAGACACAGCTGGGCTTCCCAGGCTAGGCTGAGAGCCTCCCGGCCCCCACCTGGGGTCCTCAGGCCTCCTCCTCCTCCTCTCTGTGGCCACCTCAGCCTCGGGTGCCTCCCTGCACCGTGCTCCTAGCTGGCAGGGTCTTCTGCTCCCTGCCTGTGCTCCACGCTGTCCCTGGCATCTGCAAGTGGCTGTCCCCACTCACTCTGCCTGGCTCACTCTGTCACATCCTTCCAGACTCAGGTTAGCCTCCGGGCTGTCACCGTTCAATCTTTAGTACCAAATACAAAAAAGTAAAAACAAAATCCAAGGTTCCTCGTCACTTTTCCCCACCAACCACAAGCTCCGGGGACGGGACTCTGACATCCCCCACGGCTGCACGTGGCAGACACTCAGCATACATGGGCTAAAATGAACTAAATGGCTAATCCTGCTGTGAGGACGTTCTCTCCCCGAACTGTGCACCAGAGGTTGAGCCCTGCCCCATGGGGCTGCACCTTCGAGTCTAAGGCCTCTGCAGGTGAATGGAGAAGGGCCGGGTCTGGCCAGGTGATCCCAGCACCGTGGGCAGCACTCACAGGCCTGGAAGGGCGTCCGGTCCGGCAGGGAGCGGGTTTTCCTCCGAATCGGCAATGACTTCTCCATCTCTTCTTTCAAGATCATCTTTCCCAAGTTGGAAGTAACCTGAGGAGGGAGAGAGGAGGATGGAGCTGAGTCTCAGACCCCAGTTCCCCACCTCCCAAAGGTGGAGTCGGGGAGACCCTCTTCCTCCAGAGACAGGGCTGGGTGGGAGCAGCCAGTACCTTACTGAGCTCCTCCTTCTGCCGCTCCCTGAGTGCCTTCATCTCCTCTCCGGAGTCATCCTCCTCCTCCTCCTCCTCTTCCTCTGCTCCCCTGCGAGATGCCTTCCGCTTCCGCCATTCGGTCTCTAGGAGACACAGGAACAAGAGGCCACTCAGCCACTCAGCCCTGAACTCGATATGACTCCCAGGTACTCAGAGGGTGCCACAACCTCTTTTAAATTTGTGTTACCTTTTCAAATTAAAAATTATTTTGAGACAAAGTTTTGTTATATTGCTCAGGTTGGCTTCGAGAGCTCTCTTGCTTCAACCTCCCAAATAGCTGGGACTACAGGTGTGTTCCACTCTACCAGACACTACAAATTTTTAAAAACAAAATAAAATTGGAGCCACCTGTAATCCCAACACTCTGGAGGCTGAGGCAGGAGGATTGCTGTGAATTCAAGGCCAGCCTGGATGGGCTACATATAGTGAGTTCAAGGCCATTCTAAGCACATATCAAGACTCTGTCTCAAAAACCAAAAACAACAACAACAAAAATAAATTAAAAAAAATAAAACAGGACTAGGAGTCTAGCTCAGAGATGGAGCACGTGCTTAGTACGCACATGGTCCTGGGTTCGCGCTCCCAGGATAATAATAATAATAAAAAAAATAATAATAAAGTAACATTTCTGTGCCTTGCTGTGCAGTGGAGTAGGAAACACATGCATATGAAATTCACTGGGCAGCAAGACCTTCATACGTTTTATATATATACATATATATATGTGTGTGTATATATATATATATATATGTATATATATATATATATATGTATATATATATATATATATTTTTTTTTTTTTGGCAGTGCTAAGGATAGAACTGGAACTCTACCACTGAGCTACACCCCAGCTCTTTCCATTTTTTATTTTGAGTTGACAAGAAGGCTGGGCTTGACCTTTTGATCCTCCCGCCTCAGCCTCCCTAGCAGCTGTGGCTATAGGCATGCACCTCCACCATCAATTCACTCACTTATCTTTTTCCAGAGCTTAGTACAGAGACTCAGCAAGAGTTTGGGAAATATCTGCCGAGGGACCAAACAAATGACTGGAGGGAGCAGGGAGGCAGAGGAGGACAGAGGAAGGGGACGAGAAGAGTTAAGATGCGTTACAACACGGACTGCCTCCCCATGAGGAATGGACTCAGTGTGTACCACAGACAGTACCGATAAAAACAGAGAGAAAGAGAAGCTAAATGAATGGGAGGAGAGGGAATGACACAGTGGCCACTCCTGGCAGGCAGCCCTGCAGGAATGGAGGGCAGGGTGGGGTGGGAGGGACAACAGGGGCCCATTGGAGAAGCGGGAGAAGCGAGGAGGGTCCCAGCCTCCCTCTCTCCTGTCCCCAGCTTTCCTACCTACAACAGCCAGCGACGGGGGACATGGCCAGTAGTCAGTCTCGATCTTGGCGGGCTGGTTAGGGTCCGGGGGCTGGGCTGCCGGGAACTTGGACGACTCGATGATAAGGTCCTCAATCTGGTGCTTGCTCTGAGGACTGCCTGTCATGGACTCTGGGGATGGACAGGCGGATGGAGGCCAGAGTCTCACACATGGCCGCCCACGCCCACCCAGCTGCCCTCGGCCTGCTCCCTCCCCTCTCAGCCCCACTTCAGTGAGGTCCCGGAGGTACAGCAGAGCAAGGAGCACAGGGCCTTTGCACTGAGTATTACATCCCATTGAGCATCACATCCCAGGCCCTTACATGTTCTGTTTTGTCATTGTGAGACGAGGTGTCACTAAGTAGCTAAGATGCCCAGGCTGCCCTTGAACTTGTGATAGCTATGCCCCCACGCTAGACATGCTGTTATGAACAGTTATTCTCCCATCCGCTCCCAGCCAGGGCTGGCACAGCCACCAGCATGTGGCAGAAAGGGGTCCTAAGAAGTTGGGGGACCCCTCACCTCTCTGCTTATAGATGGGCGGCTTCTTGTAGATGTTGGAATCTGGGCGAGTGGTCTCTGAGAGAGGGGACAAGAGCAGCTGAGGAGGACATGCTGATGGCAGGAGACACCAGACGCAACCGGACAATGTGTCCAGGGCTGAGACAGAACCGGAGGTCCTGGGCATCCCTCAGAGGGTGGGAGGGAGGACCCTCAGGCACATGTCCCGGGAACTCTGCCTGGGTCTCGGGAACACAGGGGCCAGCCAGGGCTGTGGCGACCTTACCCCAGGGAGAAGGGGACCAGAGGTAGGGGGTGAGGCCCCCAGGAGAAAAGTGGCCCCAGGGGATGATGCAGCCACACCAGCCAGGAAACCTACCAGGGTGGTGGAAATGAGGCAGGCTGGTCCGGGGGGTCCCCGTGGCTCTTGGGGCTGAAGCCTGAGAGAGGATTCCAGGGGTCCGGCTCTCTGCCCACACCTGCGGAGTGGAAGCGTGCAGCTCCCAGGTCTCCCTCGCCCACTCTGACCCACAGGTACAGCTTCCCCAAGTGCCAGCTTCCGCTGTCCTCCCAGCCAGAGCCAGGGAACCACCCACAGGCACTGCCTGGCCAGGGAGAAGGGCTGATGCCAGCAGGGTCACGCAGGCGTGGCCACTGAGCAGACCAGGACCGGCTGGGACCTGCTGGCTCTGTCATCCTCTAGGATCTGCAGAGCTGGGACTGGACGTGCGGTGCAATGGGGAGAGGCGGCCCCTGCCAGAGCAGGGCTGGGCACACTCACCTCTGGGGATGGTGGGGGGGACGTGGATTTGGGTGACAGAGAGCGCTGCAAATGGAGAGGGCTGGTCAGCCACTAGCACAGAACTAAACCTCCCTCCCTTGGCTCTCAGAGGAGGCTCCGTGTCCCGCCCAGCCCCATTTCCAGCCATTCTCTTTCAGACCTTTGCCGAGTCCCAGCCTCGACCATACATCCTCCCCTGCCCAGTGTTCTGCAACGGAAGCCAGAAGCAGTGCATGACCTGGAGCTGCGTGCTTGGTGCTCCGAGGGCTGAGTGTGGACTAGTGATCCCCCCGTCCTCAGAGCCCAGCCAGCAATGGCAGTGACCAGGCCAATGTGCAGCCAGGGACAAAGCCCAGGCTCCTGGACTGGCTCTTTGAGTCCTGAGGCCCCAGCTCTCGGCTCAGCCATAACTCTATCCCTCCCCCACTTTGAGATAGGGTCTCCCTGTGTACTTCAGGCTGGCCTTGAACTCAGCTTCAAACTCACAGTGATCCTCCTGCACCAGCCTCCTGGGTGCTGGGATTACAGGCGCACCACTATACCTAGATAACACTACCCCACTCTGAGCACAGGTGACAAAGGATCTGTCCCGGCACTGACTCATGCACCCTGACTATCTTGTGGGATGGACAAGCAGAGCTATCACCTCTGTGTTACAGGAGGAGAAACTGAGGCCTCAACCTCACAGCAGTCCCTCAGCTGGGACTTCCAGCCCCCACCTTGGGCACATTTTGTTCTTTCTGCCTACTGCCCCTCTTTCCCACAGGGCCCCTCACTCCGTGGCTGCCCTTCAGCCCTGGCCTCTCCTGCCCTCCACATCTGGGCCACACCCGAGCCATGGGCCACCGCCCTGTAAACACTGGGTGGATCAATCCCTTGGTGATTCCCGTACCCCGTGCTCTTGCTCGTGTGACCGTCACTGGCTGCCAGGAAGGACAGCGCGAGTGGATTCTACTCCCCACTCTGTGGCCTGCAACCATGAGGTCCCCTCACCTCCCGGCTTCTGGGTAGCTCCACGTGGTCCAGGAGGGAATAGGTAAAGTGAGGCTCGTAGATCATGAGGTCCGGCCGCTCGATGTCCAGGATGGCCTTGTCCTTGGGGATGGCAGCCAGGTCCTTGTAGCCCAGCACCTGGTTGTCCATCTTGGCCTGAGGGGAAATAGCGCCAATGGACCAGATGTTCAGAAAGCCTCACCCAGGACACCGGCCCCACCGGCCGCCTTAGCTTGCCGCCAGGAACACCGGCAGCCATTAGAGCTGTCAGGTCGCGTGCGTGAAGGGCTCCATTACTTTAAGGACTGAGACGTCATCTTAAAATAAACGACAATCTCTTTGCGTCGCACTTTTCGAGCAATCAGAGCAGACCTTGATGGGGGGCACGGAAGCCTCCTCTGGATCTCTGGGTTCTCTCCGCCTGCCTGCGCTGGCAGAACAGCAGTGGGGTGCACTGGGGGGCTCTGCGTGACCTGGGCACCTACTCCCCTCCTCCCAGCCTGAGGGTGCTGGTGGCGGCCACGGGTACTCACCATGATGCTGGAGGGAGAGCCAGGCACACTGGAGTCTCGGGAGGAGCTGACGCTCCCGGGGGAGGTAAGAGGGTGCTGGGGAGAGCAGAAGGCGGCCGAGTGGGCGTGTGCGTGGGTGAGAGGGCGGGGCACCGGTCTGCCCTAGGCCTCGGGGCCCGGCGTGCTGCGCGGCCACCAGGCGGCGCCCTCGGCTCCCGGGCCGCACCCCCCCACCCCGCCGCCCGCGCCCCGCACCTTCTGCAGCCGCTCCATGCGGCGGGCGCGGGGGCGCTCTGGCGAGGCGCGGGCGGCGGGGTCAGGCGCGGGCCGGCTCCCGCGGCGAGGGCGTGGCGCGGCGCGGGCGCGTCTTCATCCCTCGGTGACTCCGCGGCCGGTGGCGCTGGGCGGCTGTAAGGAGGGGCGGGCGCAGGCCCGGGCTGCAGTGAGGCTCCGTCCGCGCGCGCGGCCGGATTCGTGACCGCTCAGCCCGGGCGGCCGGCGGCTCGCGATTTTGAGCCATTGTTCTCCGGCTCCGGAGGAAATGACGGCAGGGGTCACCCGGAGGCCTGCTGCCCGCTTCGGCGCGGCCTCTGCACCCCGCCTGGCCACACCTGCCCAGGTCACTGCTCCAGACCCCTCCACCCAGCCGCGGGGACCAGTCCCAGCCACATTCCCCTGAAGTTATCCATCTCCTGCGGGGACACTCAGGGACGAGCCCTCTAGGTGTGGGCCTGCAGGGCACTGGCTGGAGCTGGCCACACCCCTTGTCCTTTGCAGGGACTCGGTGACTCGGTGACGCAACCTGGGGCCTGGGCCTCATTCCTGTTTCCCATGGTGTTCTCAGCCTGGGCCTCATTCCTGTTTCCCATGGTGTTCTCAGAAAGCGCTCAAGGACCTCGCCCTGGGCACAGCAGGTGGGTGCTGGGGAGCAGTCTGGCCGCCTGCGTGCTCTGTACCGGGGCACTTGGGTCCCCTCTGCGGAGGCGGATTGTGATCCCAGCCCTGCCTTCTCCCTCCTGGGACACCCCTCACTGGGCCCCTTAACCACGCCCTGAAGGCCTGGCTGGGTTCCGTGTGGCGGTGACTGGGCTCCCTGTCCACCTGCTGGCCACAGGCCCAGAGTGACAGCCGCAGACGTCCGAGCAGGCGGTGAACACGGTGACAGCATGGGCTGCCCTGAAGCCAGAGTGCTTGGGCTCCGCCAGTGACTGCTACTCAGAACTGCGTGACCTTGGGGGCGGTTCGTCTCCTTTCTGTGGCTCCTTGATAAAATGGGTGGTAGTGACCGCCCCTGTGTCACTACGTTGCTGTTTGAGGTGTCGATAAGACACAACTCGTGCCCATGGTACATTCCATGTAGAGAGTCATCTGTTAGTGCCTCCAGTAGGGCGAGCCCGGGGAGGGGGGGCCTTTTCTGCAGCCCTTCCTGACAGCCACGAAAGACCGAGGCCCAAATCTGTGCTTCACGTCAGGCCATTCCGCAGCGCATTCTGTCACCAGACTTGTCCACCCACAGGCCGAGCCTCCCTCAGCCCCACTTCCGCTTTGGCTCCCACACCCACAGCTGCCCACCTGCTACCTCCGTGGCCACGCCCCCTTCTGGTCCACGGGAAGCCCCTTCCCTTCTGCTCAGCTCCCACTGCAGACCCCAGGCTTAAAGGGGAACCATGTCAGCTAAGCACTGGGTTATGTGTTGCCGGGCATGGAGCACGATTCTTCCGGAACCGCCCCACCCCAGCTGAGTTCTGGAGGGCAACAAGAGTATCTGGACTTGGCACCTTTTGGATCTTGTCCTATGCTAGGTACTTTGACGAACACTAAGGAGTATTCTCTCTCACCCTCACAGCAACTCTAGAGGATAGACCCAGTTCACAAATGAGAAAACTGAGGCTCAGAGAGGTCAAACTTAGCTGGGTGTGGTGGCTCATGCCTGCTATCCCAGCACTCAGAAAGCTGAGGCAGGAGGATCATGGGAAGCTCAAGGCCAGCCTGAATTGCACTAGGAGACACTGTCTCAAAAAACAAAAACAGGGCCGGGGATTTAGCTCAGTGGGGCTGTGCTGGCCTCACAAGCACAAGGTCCTGAGTTCAATCCCCTATACCACAAAAAACAAAAAAAACCCAAATGTGTCCACCAGTGTCAAGGAGCTGGAAGTGACTGCCTTCCATATGGCATGGTGCAGGGTGCCTGCCCAGTGCCGTGTCCCCGTGGGGGGGACTAGGAGCTGCCAGATATCTTGAGTGTTCAGAGGATTCTAGAACCAATGCTGTAGGAAAAGACTGGTCATGGATGCACACATGGTATTTGGTGGAGAAAGGCTGCTCCGGAACTTTATGCTTCGGCTGCCTTCTTAGTTCTTGGAGGTTCGTGCATGTGCATTTGTATGTTTCTCCAGTACTAAAGGACGAGAGAGAGAAAGCAGCCTGAGAGAAGGCAGGGACACGAGACACACTCGTGACAGTGTTGTCTGTGGGACACCACCAAATCTGGCTGGTTGCAGGGGTTGAGCTATATGGGAATTTATGTCCCACACAAAGGTTAGATCATAGCTTGTGGGCAGTAGGAGACCATAGGAAGCTTTAAAAACATTGTAATATATATATTTTTTTGAGACAGGATCTTTCTATGTGGCCCAGGCCAGTCTTGAACTCTGGGGCTGTGATCCTCCTGACTCAGCCTCCCAAGTAACTGGGACTACAGGCATGCACCACCACGTCCAGATCCTTAAAATTGGCTTTGAGGGTTTACTGGGCCTTTGCATTGAGCTATGTCCTCAGCCCTTTTTATTTTTTATTTTTGAGACAGGGCCTTGCTAAATTACCAAGTTGCCTAGGCCTTAAACTTGGGATCTTCCTGTCGCAGCCTCCCATACTGCTGGGATGACAGAGGTGTGCCACTATGCCTGGCTTTAAAAAATTTGTTGTTGTTGGTGGTGGTGGTGGTGGTGTTTTTGGTAGTGGTGTAGCCCAGGCTGGCCTCGAACTCATAGCAATCCTCTTGCCTCAGCCTCCCGAGTGCTGGGATTACAGATGTGTGCCACCAAGCCTGGCTTTTGACTGCAGGTATTTAAAGAGGGGAAGAGGACAGGAAAGGCTCAAGGTAGCAGGTGGAGGGGCCCAGATGGAGCAAGGGGCCAGCAGGCAGAAAGGGACAGTACTGGCCTTGGAGGAAAACGGTGCTTCCAGAAAGGAGCAGAGTTCGAGACGCTGGGTAGCGCTAATATTAGCATGGGATGGTTAGAGAGAGGCAAGCCAAGCCTTCTGTTTCCCAGGGACCGGGACAGAGGAGGTCATACAGAGCTGTGCTGCCAGGTGGCTCAGGGCAGGACATTGTCGGGGTCGCTTTCCATTGCAGGCACGGCTGTGCAGTGACAGTGGCCTGCCCAGGACAGGGAGGCATGTCCCAGGCCGAGGGCGTGGGCACAGTCACGTGAGGTCATATTCCAAATAGTGAGTCAGAGTAGTATTCAGAGTCGATGTTTATGGGACATCTCTATCCTGCTCTCCACATCCCTTCATCCTGACACTTAGATCCCGTGAAATGTCAATCATCCCAGGTCAGGGATGAGGAAATTCAGAGTCAAGCAGCTGGTCGACACAATGCTATGCAGAACTGAAGCCCATTAACCAGGTATCATCCCAGGCAAAACTGTGGTATGAGACACCAAACGCCTCCCCCAGTCCTGGGGACTGGACCCAGGGAATGCTGAGCTGCATCCCCAGCCTTTTTTATTTTGAGACAAGGTCTTGCTAAGTTGCCCAGGCTGGCTTCAAACTTGGGATCCCCCTTAATAGGTGCTATTTAAAGTTTATATTTCCTCCAGAGTTAGTTTCATTAATTTGTCTTCCAAGGTACTTCTTAGAAGTTGTCAAATTTATTTCAAAAAAGATTTTTGTAATATGCTTTCTATATCTTTTTAAATTCTGTAAAATCTGTGGTAATGTCTCCTAGATCTTGATATTGTAATTAAAAAATGTATAACTGATATTGTGCAATAGGAAGAAAAGGTCTAAAGGAGCAGGGGAATTGGGAGGGGTAGGGGAAGGGAAAAAAGGGAAAGGAAAAAATACGAGAAAAGGAAAAAAATGGAAACAAAGTCTTTGCAAATAGGGAAGGTTGGAGGGGGTGAAGGGAGGGCAGGGAAAGGGGAAAAAAAATAACCAAGGGGCTGAGAATTTAGCTCAGTGGTTCCAGTGCCTGCCTCACAAGCGCAAGGTCCTGAGTTCGATCCCCAGTACCAAAAAAAAAAAAGAAAAACCAAGATACTCATGTAATGGTACAAGATCCCAATAATGAATGTAACTGTATTTTATACCGAAAATGTACCAATAAACTTAATGGAAAAAAAAAACAACTTGGGATCCTCCTGCCTCAGCCTCCACAGCAGCTGAGTTGTTGGGACTACAGGTGTATGCCACCATCCCAAGCAGGTACTGTATTTGCGTTTTAGTTTGGGACTAGCCTTAAGGAATAAGAGCGGTTACTGGTGAAAGTTTGGTTGTCAGAAAGCCGGTAGGGGAACATGTTTGAGAATGGAAAAAGAGAGCCAGAGAAAGTCGTCTTAGCCTCTGCTAGCATGAAGCTCCCTCCCCCAAAGCTAATTTCTCACTCTGCCTCCTCCAGGCGCCCCCCTACACTTGTACCCCTTGCCTACGTCCATTGACTCCGACCTGGGAGACAGAGTCCAAAAGGGCAGGCTGCAGCAGGAAGAGGGAGGAATGGAAGGGAAGAATGGAGGAGGGCCAGGCCAGGTGGCGGAAGGGACTTCTCAGCCTCCCTGGCCCTGTTCCGAGGCCAGCAGGCTTCTCCTCCCCCATCACAGCCCCACCCTCCTCCAGCTGTGTGTCCTGCCTTATCGGAGCCACCAGCCCAGCCCCACCTCTCACTACCCACCCTCCCGTCTCCATGGCAACCTGAGCCTCGCAGCTCCCCGGAAGGTGGGTGATAAGACCCGCCCATGGGGACCTCCAAATTTGTGTCCACCCATCCCCAGGGCTGGAGTTCCAGGAGCTCGCGTCCAGCCCAAGGCTCTCAGGACTTGAGAGATGAAGGCCACCAGGCAGAACTGCACCCTTGACTTCTCTGGCCCAGCCTTTGCTCCCAGACTAAACCAGCCACTAGCTGCTTGGTGCCAGAGCCGTGCTAGGCACTTCCTTTTCTTAGTTTTTGGTTTTTTTTAGTTTTTTGAGACAAGGTCTCACTATTAGTTCAGGCTAGCCTTGACCTCACTATGTAACCCAGGCTGGCCTCAAACCCAAAGTGATTCTCCTGCCTCAGCCTTCCGAGTGATAGGATTACACGCATGAGCCACCACACCTGGTTGTGCTGGGGACTTCCACATGTCCTGCCTGAACTTCACACTGACCAGCAGTTTGCTCACTTGGTGACGAGGACAAGTGAGGTGGAGGGGTTAACTCGCCAAAGGCCACCGAGCTGGCTCTCTTGCCCAGGCACAGCTCAGGCCAAGGCCAAGGCCAAGGAATGCTTTTCAACCAGTCCCCCAAGATCCTGCTTCAATCTGAATGTGGACTCGGGGTCCTGCTCACCAACCTCACTTGGAGAGCGGGAGCTGGGCGGATGGGGCCCGGCTCTGGGCCACAGGAATTAGGAAATAGGTGAGGCCAGCTGTCCAAGTGGGCTGGGGTCAGCCGCCAGGAACTTTGTCCCCTCGTTTCTCGCTGCACTCACGGCAACTGCCTTGTGTTTCTTTCTTACCCTCCCGCTTCCCTTCCCTTTTTCTTTCTTCATCTTTTCTGCCTCCTTCTTCTCTTTCCTTCTCCTTCTCCCCCTCCCAGCCTCACCTCCTCAGTTGCTGTGGCAACAACTCAATGCCAGAAATAAAGGCAGGATCCAGCTAGGCCACCCGTTCCCAAAACAGCATTCCAGGGAGGAGAGAGGAAGGGTGGGCGGAGCAGGCCACGGGGCCAGGCGCACCCCAGTGGGTGCCACGGCACGGGGCTCAGGGCACGGATGGCGGGTTCACCAGTGGTGTCCCTGCCTAAGCCAAGCCTGAACCCTGGGCTTTTCTCAGGCTGGCAGAGGCCAGCTATTCCTCTCCTCTCATTTTCTACCTCTCTTCCAGGGAAAATGTTTTACGCCTCTTCTGTCTGCTCTGTACCCTCTCACTCTGAACAGGACCAGGCAGGGCAGCTGTGCCCCCCACCACTGCTGATGACAGGGGACTTGGCCTTAGCAGCACTGTCTCCTGAGCCAGAGTGCATCTACTCGTTTTAGAATAAAGATCTCTCTTGGCCGGGTTTGCAGATCCACTCTCCGAACCCTTGCTCTGAGAGGTCCCCTTGGTTTGCGTCCCCTGCTATCCATCCCCTGCCCCTCAGGCTTGCTCGGTCTCAACCTGCTCTGCTCCACCTCTACTGCCCTGGTGTCCAGGTAGGAGTGGCAGAGCCATGCTTACTCTGAAGTCTTCACACAGGAGCTCTTCGAGAAGGACCTACAGTCATCCATCCCCCCGTGGACAACCTAGACCAGGTGCCGATGTGGCCGTGGAGCCAGGCTCGACGCACACAGGTTGCAGAGGGCACATGACTACAGGTGCAGAAGAACCGCACACGGTGCGCTCGGGGACAGCCTTGCCTGGCAGATCCCATGCCCACTCTCCCACCAAGGGCCCCCACTTGGTGACACACGCACTGAGGACACCCACTTGCACCTACCCACGATCCTCCCCTTGGCACCTGTTTTCTACAGTCACAGCCCCCGGAGCCAGCCACATGCGCCACATCCCCATCTGTGTCTGTGAACAGCAACACTTAAGGAGCCCCTGCTGCTGACCCATCCCCTGGGGGCTTCCCCATCGTCTCCCATTCCCACTGCTCCTGCCTTCCTTCCAGACCAGCTCCTAGTCCCTTGACTCTCACAACCTGGCCACCAGCGTGCCCGGGAAGGGAGACACAGGTGTGCTTGTCCAGGAGAGGGGGCCAGCCTGGCAGGGCCGGGAGGGCCTGTGTGTCTGCCCAGCGCCCAGCCCCTGCAAGGAGGCCCGGCGCCAGGCTGGGTGCAGCCGAGGCCTGCCGCCCGCCTCATTCTCCACCCCTTCCCCACCCCAGCCTACCCAGCCACAGTGAGGAGGGGCTGGGGAGCAGGCTGCAGACCAGCAGCACCAGGCCCCTCAGCGCTGCTCCCAGCCTGAAGGTGAGCGGCCCGGGGGGGAGGAGTCTGGCGTTATTCAGCACCCTGGGCCTCAGGATCATCACTCGGGTTTCTGGCCCATGAAGCTAGGTAGGCAGGGCAGTCACCAGGGAATGGGGTGCTGGAGCAGCGGCGACACCCCAGCCCCTCGCCCCCAAATCAGGAGTTTGAGCAATGAAACCCAGCTTTTCCTGGGCCCATTCTCCCGAAGCTGACCCCTCCCTGGGGCATCCTCGCCACCATCCAAACCCCTGCTTCCAGGCAGGGGCTGTAGCCCAAACTGCCCCCTTGGGGAGGAGAGGCGGGGGACCCCACCACCTACCTCTTCCCGGACCTCTGAGGCCCCAGAGGCGCGAGCTCTGGTCCCCCGCTGCCGCGTTTTCACAGGAGCCTAGGTGAGAGGTGTCGCTTCCAGGAAACCGGCCGTGCTTTCCCCAGCACAGCTAACAGGAAGAAAGCTGGCTTGGGGTGGGTGGGGTGGGGGCTGGCGATCGAGGGGAGCTGGTCTCCGCAGAGCGCAGAGCGGTCGGATCTCCCCTCCGGGACCCCACCCCGCCGCGCCCCCACCCTGATGCTCCACGAGCCACACGCTTGGGTCCCCGCGTGCCTGGTGGGTGGGCCGCGCCGGTGCCCCACACCCTCCTGCGCCCTCCCACCTCCAGCTGATAGTGGCGGCCCCGCCGGGCGGGCGTGTGTGTTTGGATGAGCTGCCTTCCACCTCGCTGCGGCGGCTCGATCCTTCTCAAACCAGAGGAGCATTAACCGGCATCATGACGAAGCAGAATCGGCCGCGCTGTCCTTTTCCAAACCCTTTCCCCCACTCCCAGCTCTGCAATATTCACACACACACTCATGCTCACACTCACACACGACCCCCGAAGCCTTCCCATCCACAACCAGAGTTCAAGTTGCTGGGGGTGGGGGGTAACTGATAACCGAGGGGGGCGATGCCTTGCTCTCCAGGCACCTGCTCCTCCCGCCCCACCACATTCATGGCGCCCCATCCTCTGGCAGCAGCAGCAGAAGCCCCTGGGGTCCCACCCCTCAGAGTGGGGGTGCAGGCAGAGGTACCAGAACGGGTCATTAACCCTCTTGTGGGAGGGGCAAATGGAAGGACGCAAGACACCGAGTGGAGTCCTCAGCCCCAGAGGCTCAGGCTGGCCCTTGGTAACCTGAATCTCCCAGGAAGAGCAGTAGGTCGCAGCCGAGAAAGAATGAAGGACCCATTTCTTCCTGAGGCAGCTTTAGGAACAGGAGCTTCCTGCCAGGTGGCCCCAGTTCCAGCACAGAATTTACAGCCTCCTGTGGCTCCTGTGACTGGCAAAACCTTAGCCACCCTAGGGCTCTGTCGCTGGCCTTGGGGTGACCCTGGGAGGGAGGAGGTGACAGCCTAGTAGTGGCCCTGACCCTCACTGGCTGGCCTGACTTCCTGTACACCTCTACTGCCTGCAGACTTGCCTACCTAGGCAGCCTTGCTGTTGCCCTGGTAACGGCTGCCCACAGCTGGTCAGCTGATGGTATCAGCTGCTGTTGGGAAAACCTAGAATCTGGGGAGGGGGAGCTGCAGTATCTGAACGTCACATCACGGGGGAAGGTCTTGAGGGGGACAGGTGAGAGTGTGCCCCAGGATCTTTTCCTCAAAGAGAAGAGCACAGGAGGGGACAGGAAGGGAGGGATATCTGGGTGAGGAGAAGACAAGAGAAGACTGATTTGAAGGGTGGCTCCAGGCAGAAAGGAGAAATGACAAGGCAGGGAGAAAGGAGGCAGGCTTAGCTGCTGGCCAGGCGGTTAAGGCCTGTGGAAGGTACAGAGAAAACCAGAGATGAGGGGAGAAACATCGGCCGAAACCGTGGCACTAAAGGCCGGCGGTGATGTGGGAGGGGGTTCACCTTTCACACGCAGGAGGGGGCTGCAGCCTCGGAGGAGGAGCTACCTGGCCTTCCCCACAGCCAGCCCCAGCCTCAGCCCAGCCTCCCCTGTTCAGTCCCTTCAACCCCACCCTACTGCCCTGGAATCGGGGTTTGAGAGACGGAGAGGTGAGACCAGTCCTGCTCTGGTCCAAACCGTCTCCTCCATCCCTCAGGAGACCAAGCACGGGCCATTTGCCACCTCGGCCCTTTAGCTTTCTTGATGTTCCCACCCCTGGGCTGCTGGCCCAGCTCTCCCCAGACCCCACCCCAGGAGACCTGTCCTCTGGCACAAGGGTCCTCGGAGGCAGGGTTGGGCTGAGTGGATGCCGGGAAGGACAGCTGTGGACAGGGGCCTGGGATGAGGCGGGTTGTGAGCCCCCCTGGGGGGGGGGTCGCTGGGCTGGGAGGAGGATGAGCCTCCTCGGATGGGCACCGGCCTGTGGTGTAGGACACAGTGGGGGAAATCAGAGAAAGGAGGGCCAGGAGGAGGGGAGCAGGAGGGGAGGGTTCTCGGTACCTTCAAGGGCCTGGGGCGTGGGGCAGGAGCGCAGCAGCCTCCGCGGTGACATACACCTCCATCTCCCAGCGCATCTCCTCTCCGCCTCCCGTTGCCAAGACAACCTGCAGGCAGTCTGGGCCTGGCTCTGGCTCGGCAGCGGGCGGTGGGGAGGGGGGAGGAGGAAGCTATGGCTCCTATGGCCTCTTCCTCAGGGATGGAGGGCGGGGGCTCCCACTGTGCCCCACCAAGCCTCCCCTCCCCCAGCACCTCTGTAAGACCCTGGATTGGCTCCCGAGTGGCCTGGGGAGAACCCTAATTCAGGGCCAGACAGCAGGCTGGTCTTGAAGAGGGACACAGCACACTGGAGGCTGCCCCATCCCCGGACACCCAGCGTGCAGTTGGGGAGCGATGGAGCAATGACCCTGGGTGGGATGGTGCATCTCTGCTATACCTGGGCACCTCCTCTTCATTCCACACCCCCCCCCCAGAGAAAAGCCAGAGCGTTAGAAAGCTCTCTTCTGACCCCTGAGACTCCGGCCCCACTGCCTCTGGGTCCCAGGGCCACGTTCACTGGGAGGACCTGCTACAGGGCCGGCTGCCATGGGCAGGAACAGTCTGGGGCCCAGACAGCTTTGGACCTGGAGGGACTGCAGAGTTAGGGCTCCCTCTGTCGACCTGAGCAGTGGCAGCTGCCAAGGTCACTCCTGGTTGGGAGGGAGCCTGGTTTGTGTGTGCAAGTGCCACACTCAGGTCACTGTCTGCTCCGCTGGGCTCTGCCTCCCGCCCCCTCCCCTGAGAAAGGCCCTGGGCTCCCCAATCCAGCGAGCTGACGGCCAGAGGAGAGGAGAGGCCAAATCTCTCCAGAGGCAGGCATCCCTGACCCCAGGTGCCTGTCATCCTCGCCTCCTCACCTCCCCGTGCTGGTCGCAGATCCACCAGGTGTCCCAGATGGGCACCCGTGTCCACAGCAGGCTACTCTCAGGCAAGGTGGGGTCTCAGGCCCCTGCTTCTTGGCCCCTTTCCCCAGCAAGGTCACTGGTGCCAGAGGTCCTGAGTGGACTCTGGCCCTGCTACTGCTTGCCCCCCTTCCCCCAGGCCCACACCACAGGCCTCTCTGTCCCAGCCTCCGTGTCTCACTCCAGTGCCCCTCGGCCCCATCCCACGGACAGACAACCTGCTGGGGAGGGGAACAACCCCCCCCCCGTCTAAATATTAACTCCTCAGTTGAGCCAGGATGCCTGGACACCCGGGGAGGAGGGACAGATGACGCAGGTCCGGCCAGAGGAGGAAAAGGAAGGACAAGGGCCCAAAGGGACCCTTTCTCGTCAGAGACTGGAGGCCACATCCCCTTCCCTTTGGGCTCTGGACACTCAGCCTCCAGGACCCTGAGCCTCCGCCCCCAGAATGCATCTGCCACTTCTCAGAGTCCTTCACTGCCCCTCCCTGCCACAGCACCAAGACCAAAAGTCATAATTTTTGCTTTGTTTTTTTGAGACAGGGTCTCACTGGCCTTGAACTCACTGTGCAGCCCAGGGTGACCCTGAACTCATGGTGATCCTCCTGCTTCAGCCTCCCGAGTGCTGGGATTATAGGCTGTTGCCACTGCACATGACTCCAAAGTTCATAATTGCACTCAACCATTTCCTGTCACTTCCAGCTTAACACACATAGCCATGCAAAGCCCAGCTTTTTCAGAGTCCTCTCAGGCACCTGTCTCCTGCTCTCTGACCTCAGCAAGCAGTGGGCCCCCAGGGGAGCAGAAAGCCCTGCTCTCTGGGGTTGAAGAGGAGAATGTAGGGTGAGCACTCACTGGCCATGCCCATCTCCAAAGGTGAGCCTGCCCTTAGGTGACATAGGAGAACCATCTTCCTGTCCTAAATATGTGCTGCCTGCAATAGCTCTGGAATGCAGGGCAATCCGGATTCTGCTTTCCTTATTTCTTGCCTCCTCTTCCACTCTTCTGGGCTGAACTGAAGGCTGCCTTATTATTTTAAGTAGAAGAGAGAGCCCGTCTTGGTGGCACATGCCTGTAATCCCAGCCACTTGGGAGGCTGAGGCAGAAGGATCACAGGTTCCTGGCCAGCTTAGGCAATTAGGTGAGACCCTGTTTCAAAAAAGGCTGGGTATATAGCTCAGTGCTGGAGACTTACCCGGGATTCAATCCCCACTACCACCAAGAGAGAGATTGCTCCAAAAGAGCTGTCTTTTTATGGGTTTATCCCTCCAATTAAATTCTAAGTGTTTGACAGCTGTATCTTGCCCATTTTTTTTTTGGTACCAGGGATCGAACTCTGGTCCTTGCGCTTGTGAGGCAGGCGGTGGAACCACCGAGCTAAATCCCTGGCCTCTTGCCCATTTTTTAATTAACTGAAGAGTTAGTATAGTGCTTGGACACAAGAAAAGAAATATTTTTGTTGTTTTTTGAGACAGGGTCTCGCTCTATATTCCAGGCTGGCCTTGGACTCACTGTGTAGCCAGGCTGGCCTCCAATTCACAGAGATCCTCCTACCTCAGCCTCCTGCATGCTGGGCTTACAGGCATGGGCTACCACACCCAGCTAGAAATAAATATAATTTTAAAAATCCTGCCTACCCCTTGAGGGACTGCAGGGTGCTGGGCAGCGATGTCTTTCTGGGGCTAAAGTTGGATTAGTCCCTTGTGAGCCTGTGCTGGGGCCACGGGGCAGGCAAAGACTGACCATTTTTATATCAGAGACCCACACCATCCATCAGAACCATGTCACAGAGGCAAACAGTGAGGGTCTAGACAGCTGTGCTGTGTTGTGAGGGAGGGTCACAAATGGCCAGCAGGGCCAAGGGAGACCGCAGCAGCAGACAGGTGACAGTCAGAAGCCTGTGGGGCAGCATGAGGCTGTTTGGTGAGCAGAAGGCCAGAGGAGATGTGACAGCGGCATATGGAGGGCAGCGGCACACGGAGAGCAGCAGCACTGTGGACGGGCAGTGGGAAGCAGGAGAGGAGGCAGGGAGTCCACCCTAGGCATTTGCTGGGATGGCCTGGGTCGAGCAGTACTGAGGGGTGGGTGGCCCAGTGAAGCCGGGGCGTGACACACCAAAAGGAGTGGGCTGGAGCAGGCAGAGACCAAGTAGGAAGCCAGGGCAGTAGTTTCGACAGATCCCAGGGCGCTCTGCATGGGGCAGAGACTAGGAGGGAAGGCAGTGGGGGCAACGGGTGATGGCTGAAGTGTGAAGAAATCTTAGGGCCTTGTTTCCCTAGGAGGAGCCAGGGAGGATGATGGCCTACTGCAGGGAGAGGGGAGAGCAGTTCAGGAAGAGGTGGTTGGGCACCTATAATCCCAGCACTCTGGGAGGCTAAGGCAGGAAGATCCAAAGTTCCAGCCCAGCTTAGTGACTCAGCAAGACCCTGTCTCAAAACAAAAAAACTAAAAAGGGGTTAAGATTGCAGCTCAATGTGAAGGTCCTGAGTTCCACCCCCAGTACCACAAAAAAAGAGGGGATGGGAGGTCACATGCTGCCAAGGACAAGACTGAGGACCGAGCTAAGGCTTTTGTCTTGGTGACCAGGATGCCCCTGGCCACAGGCATCTGTGATGCAAGGTTGGATAGTGTGAGGTTGAGCCTTGCCTGGCCAAAGAGTGAATGGATGGACATCCCTGCTCTGGTCCCCTGGGCCTCACCTGACTGACCACTTGGAGGACAGGACCAAGAAGGAAGAGAAGACTATGTGGGCTATTCTTAGAGCTCTAAGTGATCCTAATCAGGCCCAGGGTTTGAGGCGTGTCTCCGCCTGTCACTTCCTCCTCTTGATGGGTTCTATTAGCCCCCAAAGCAAGGGCCATTAGCAGTCAGCCCCCTGGGGCCACCCCTAGCTCACATGGGCTTAGAATCTCAGACACAGGAAGTAACCCAGGTGTGGTCTAAGACCATAAAAAACCTCTTCTCCATCACACACACACTTGCACATCACCTCCCTCCAAACTTCTTCTTAGAGATCTATTCCTCAGGCTTCCCTCTAGCATCTTCGATGTCATCCTGGGTTTGGAAGGAATGAGCTGGGCACAGTTTCTCAGGACATAAAAGGGCAGGGGACCTGGACACCAAGAGGTGTGGGAAGAGAAGCTTCTGAACTCAGCCAGGGAAGGTGTTGGCCACACCAGCTCGGGTGTGGCTCTGGAGAAAGTGCCTGAGATGCACAGGCCTCCAAAGCTGCCCTCCCTCGTCCTTCCCCATCCTCCATCCCTGCCCGAGAGGTCTCACCTCAAAAAGCCAGGACGGGAACAGTGAGGGCTTTCTGGAGCCGGCCCCCAGAGGCCTGTCTGTGCTGGGGAGGTCAAAGAGAGGGAGGGAGGGGCTGGAGAAAGGCCTAGAAGAAAGCCGACGCAAGACAAAGGCCCATCCACCTTTGAAGCCGTCTCTAACCCGAAGGAGGGAGGGTGGGAGTGGGCTGAGGGCACAGCTCGCGGGAGGCCGTCCAGTCTTAAAGAATGTCTCAAATTCTTTCGGAAATCAGAGGGATTGTAAGACAAGCCCCCCCCCCCCCGCAACACACCTCCTTCCCAGCCTCCTCCCTCAAAGTCCAGTCCTCCACACCTGGGGGGCCCCAAGCCTTTGTCCTCAAGTAATTGCTGGGAGTTGCCCCAGTTTGAAAGTCCCATTGAACTGGCCAGTTATCAGCTGCGGCTCCAGACCACCCGCCCCACACACACCCCAGAAAACTACCCCCAACGCGTCCTGCTGTCTTCCCCAGGATTAAGGTTCTTTGTGATGGGGGGAGAGAAAAAAAGCAACCTGGTGAAAAGCAATTATGACAGGCCTGAGGGAGAATGTCTGTCCTGCAGCCTCCCTCTTGGGGACCTCCCTCTTGGCGGCTGCCGTCCCCACCTTCTAAAGGGCCCAGGGCCGGGGTCACCGTCCACTTGGAACGCCAGGGCCCACCTCCCCTTTGGCCCAGGCCAACCCCTCCACAACTTCTCCTTCTTATTTTTAGGCCATTCTTGGAAGAAGTAGGAGGAAGGGTTGACTTTCATGGCTTTTCTTCTCTCTCCATAACCTGCCTCTCCTCCACGGCCTTTTCTCAGGAAGAGGAGGCCGGAAGGGGAAACTGAGTTTGGGTGGTGGCGCGGTCAGCAGAAGGGAAGGGGGCTGTCCTGGCTGGGGAGCGTCTCTCAGTGAAAGATAAAAAGCCAGTGCGCAGAGGAAAGAGGAGGACTTTATGGCCTGGAGTCCCGGCCCCGGTGCGCACCTGGAGCCCTGGCAAAGCCCACCCGGGACGCGCGGGCGGGGGGGGCCTCCCCCGCGCGACCATCGGCCGGGCCGCAGCTTCTAATTGAGCTCTGCCCTCGGGTGTGGCCCCCGCCCCCGCCCCCAGCGGGGACCTGAAGAACAAGAGGACGCATTCTCGATCCCAGTGCCCCTTCCGCTCGCCCTGGCCTCCCCCCCCCCAACCCCGCCCGGCCCTCCTCACCGGAAAAAAGCAATCCAGCGCCCCTCGAGGCTCCGGGCGCCCGCGGGCCGTCGGGCCCCGCTTCTGCAGCCCCGCGGGGTCCCCCACCCTCCTCGGACCTGGGGTCGGGTCTCCTGCGCCCCAACAGGTGGCACGGGACGCGCGTGGCGGGCGGGCGAGGACAGGAGGCAGCGGCCGCGGAGGGAGGGGCCTGGGCCGCCCTGGGCCGCCGCCTCTCGCCGCCTCCCGCCGCCACCTGCCAGCCCGCTCCGGACGCTTCGCCGCGGTGCTTGCACCCGGGGAGGGGACTCAGGGGCTCAAGGCTCGACCCAGGCCCCTTGCCCCCGCAATCCTGTTTTCCACTTCGGGTGTCGGTTGCCCACCCAGCTTCAGCTTCAGATTATGTTTGCCAGAAAATGGTTTTATTCGGGGCTTGGGGTGGGGGTGCGGGCCTGGGTCATGGAATGTGGGGAATGGCCAGCCCCCCCCCCCCCCGTCAAAACCAAAAGTCCCTTCCTAGTATGCATCTGGCCGGAAGTAGTTTGGGGGCTGGGGACAGACTGAGGAAGATTGGGGGATCAGGATTTGGGGACAGCCAGCTGCAGATGGTGTCTGTGAGGCCTGGAAGCTGCTGACCGTCTGGCTCTTTAGTCCAGCCGGCTGGGAGGGAGGCTGGTGCTTGAGATCAGGTTAACACTGGCTCCTGTCCCCAGGCTGGCCCGGGCCGGCAGGAAAGGGCCTATTCCAGTGTGTAGTGCCAGCCCAGGGTGTGGCAGTCCTGTCCCTTACCAGCTGGGGCTCTGGTGCTTCTGTCCTCAGGGTCCTTGGGGGGTGTCTGGCTCCCCTCCCTCCGCCTGGGCCCAGTCTTTGGATCAGGAAGGGAAGGGATGGGAAGGCAGCAGAGGCCCGGCCTCCCTGCCAGCCACTACGTGAGGGGCTGGGGCCCCCGAGTACGCTTGGTCCTGCCGGTGGGGACTGAGCCCACAAACTCGAATTGCTTCTGCCTCTCAGCGTGGTTGGGGAAGGGCAGCTGGCCCTGGTAGAGGCGCTTGATGAAGTGGGCTTCCCGCTGGTTCTGGCGGCTGCGGGAGGCCTGGCGGGGCCGCCCCTGCCGTGTGAAGGCCATGAACCAGCCCTCGTGCCGGGCATTCTGGAAGGCCGTGTAGTTGTTCTCCAGCACGATCTCAGTGAACACACAGTCCTTGCTCTTCCCACTGGGCTGCAGGGGAAAGGAGGAGAGGAAGGGAGTTTGTCTATCTGCTGTAGGAACTCTCTGGCTTTGGGCGGTTTTTTTTGTTTTTTGGGTTTTTTTGGTACCAGGCATCAAACTCAGGACCTTGGGCTTTCGAGGCAGATGTGGTGCCACTGAGCTAAATCCCCAGCCCCTTTGGGCCTATTTTGTGGGAACCATGGGCCAGTGGAGTCAGTGAGCTGGAGGAGCTGCCTGAGAACAGGGATGAGGCAGTAGAGGGAAAACCAAGCTTTGCAAACTATGTAGACTTGTCATTTGGCAGCTGTGTCAACTGAGCCTGTTTCCTGAGATGTAGCATAGAGATCAAGGTAATGCATGTTTCAGCGCAGAGCCTGGCACACCTGGTATATGCAAGCATCCGGGGGAGGGGTGTGGCCCAGTGGAGGGTCCACTGCAGGTGCTTTGGAGGCCAGGGGCCAAAATAAACTCAGTGGAGTTTCCGTGTGTGTGGGGGGAGTGCTGACTGGGGCCTCTTGCATGCTAACTACAATGCCACCTCTTTTTATTTTTTATTTTGAGACAAGGTCTTGCTAAGTTGCCAAGGCTGAACTGGAACTTTCGATCCTCTGCCTCTGCCTCTAGAATACCTAGGATTACAGGAGTGCATCACCGTGCCAGTATCTTTTTTCACTTGTTTGTTTTGTTTCGCTTTTGTTCATTTTGTTTTTTGGACAGGGTCTCACTAGGCAGTTCAGGTTGTCCTTAACTCACTACGTAGCCCAGGCTGGCCTCGAACTCGAAGTGATCCTCCTGCCTAAGCCTCCAGAGTGATAGGATTACAGGCATGAGCCACCACACTTGGCTGTGCTGGGGACTTCCACATGTCCTGGCTGAACTTCACACTGACCAGCAGTTTACTCACTTAGGGATGAGGACAAGTGAGGTGGAGGGGTTAACTCTCCCAGGGCCACCATGCCCAGCATTGTGCCAGCATTTTATATGCCTGTGCCAGCTTTCAACCTTGTTAGTCCTTAGCCCTCTTCAACAGGGGCTGCAACATCTCTTAGATGCTAGAATTCTTACTGATTGCTGCACATTTAAATGGAGACCTGGGCCAGTGATGTAGCTCAGTGGTGCCACGCCTGCCTGGCAAGCGCAAGGTCCTGAGTTTGAAACCGAGGAGTGGGAGGGCAGAAAAGAGTAAGAAGTCTATGTCCTAGCCCTGTGGAAGCGGCTGCTCCTCGCCAGGTGGGCCAGGCCCAGCAGAGCGAGTGGGTGTTGTGGCCCTGTCTTCCCCCTCCCCACAGGATGGACTCCTCAGCCTGCTCACTGCCCTGCGGGCTGCTAGGCCTTGGCCTCACCTTCCCGATGAGCTTGCCCTTCTTGTTCATGCAGATGTACTTCTCACTCTCTGCCCCCTTGATGCGCACCCGGCTGCCGAATGTGTCTGTCTCCACTATGAGCTTGGCTGTGATGGAAAGCGAGAAAGACCTCTGTCTGTCAGGGGTGCAGCCAGGGACCCCGCAGCCAGCCACCTCCAGGCTCTGTCCAGAGCAATGGGAACGGGCAGGCTCCCAGCCCCCGGCCCCCTGGGCGCCTTTCTTCCTCTCTCCCACTGCAGCCTCGGCCCTGCCTGGGGATCTGGGTTTGGTTCAGGGTAGCCAGGGGTGAGGGCCGGGTCTCACCAAACTTGTTGCCGTCCTCGGCAGTGGCAGAGATGCGACGCCCGGTGACCTGCACGTGCTTGCCACTGGTCCGGCTGTAGAGCTGGTACTCGCGGATCTGCCGCCTGCTCAGCTGATCGGTCACGGCGCCCTGGTCCCTCACGTACTGGTTAAAATTAGGAGACGGGTGATTCTCCCCCTTTGCGGTTACCAAGGGAAAAATAGTGTCAATTTGCTTTGGGTGACACCGTGGCTGGTCGGGGTGGGGGGTGCGGAGGTGAGCACAGCGGGCGCAGGCCCTGGGTCCTGAAGAGCAGAAGGTGCTCGGGGAAGGTGGCGTCTGGCCACGACCCTTCCAGGCTGCTGGGTCCACTCTGGGGCAGGCCAGTTGGCTGCCCCTGTCTTGGGGACGCAGTGAGACCTGGAATAATAACTCTGGCAACTGGAAGGGATCTTCAGGGTTGTTGGGTCCCATCCCTATGCTCTAGGGAGGGACACAGCTCACCAGGGACAGAGCCCCTTTCCCCACCTCTTGGGTCTTGCAAGGTGCCCTTAGCTAGGACCACGGATTTCTCCTTGATCCTCTTCCTGGCCTTGAAAGACCTCAGCCCTGGCTCATACACACACAACAGATGGTCTGCCAGGCTCTCTGAGTGAGGGTCACTGGAGAACACTTTAGGGTCTCTTAGGTCCTTATCCTCAGGGTTCCGTAAGCCCCTGTAAGCGTTTCTTTACAGTCCTGCCCTGCCTCGAGTCTGGGGTGCCCGGGCCTCAGAGGAGCAGGTCTCTCTCCCAGGCTCCTCTCTCCTCGGCCGCCTCCTCTGTGGGAGGGAGGTGGACGCAGCAGTGGGAGGTGCTATCAGTGGGGCCAATGGCTGCCGAGTCGCAGAGCCACCTGCTGGTCTGTGCCACGGTGTCACAGAGGCTCCGGCCAGTTCGGGTTGTTGCTGCGGGTGGGCAGGCCGCCCTGGGCCTCTGGTTTCCCACTGTTTCTGCCCTGCAGGGTGCCGGGACCAGCATGTTTTCCACAGGCCCACCTTTTACCCTCCTAACACTGAGCAGGGCGGGACACGGTTTCCTTCTGCCCTCTGTCTCCCGAAAGGTGCCGGCCAAGACGCTGAGTCCTGGTTGTTGGCGGTGCCCTCTGCTCTAGCTCAGAAATGGACTTCATTTATGTTTCTCTCTCCACCTGGATCCTGCTGGCTGTGTGGAGACAGCCTGTCCTCAATCCTTACTGCCATCTTTTTTTTGGTACCCGGGATCAAACTCGGAACCTTGCGCTTGCGAGGCAGGCAGCAGAACCACTGAGCTAAATCCCTGGCCCCCTTAATGCCATCTTTATCCCAGGCCGGATCCCAACCATCTGGACAGAGCTGGGCATCTGTTACAGGCCACCTCATCCTAGGGAGAAGGCTCGGAAGCATTACCTTTGGGGAGGGAGAGGCGAAGAAGGCAGGAAGGTTTGACCTGCCCAGTGTTATTACCCAGTCCCATTGCCAGCCCCAAGGCCAGGAGTGTTGCAGGGACCCCAGGAGGACAGCAGCGCCTTTCAGACCCACCCTGCACCCCACCCTGGAAAAACCTGAGGTCAGCTTTTGGGGCGGAGGACCCACTGGCCCTTGATGGCCTCCCTGCCAGGGGTGAGGACCTGCGTGTCCCAGCCCAAAGCCTCCTGGCCCAGGTTCAGACTCCACCTCTCTTGGCGGGCAGCTCCCTCCTGGCCGTCTGCTCCAGGTCAGGGGCAGAGGGCCCCCCGAAACCCCCTCCTCTCCTCAGCTTCAAGCCTTTCACAAAAGCAGCCCCCGCCCCTCAACCCCCCCAGCCCCCAGCCCACAAGTCCCTCTCCCGGAGGGACCTTGCCTGTGCCTTTCATGTTCCCGCCCAGGGGGACCTCCCCTTCCACCACCACAGACAGCTGCTTGTCAGACAGCCCCTCAAGCATGGCTGTGGTTCAGCCTGCTGCCCCCCACCCCCGCCCAGGGGGTGAGGGGGCACTTCAAGGGGGAAAGGACAGCCTTGCCACCTTCCCCAAGTCCTGAATGGGGCCTCAACCAGGCCATAAACGCCCCGGCCAGCCGCACCATTGTGCTAATTCCCCTTCCAGAACAGGTTGGGCCCACCCCCAGCCCCCTCCCAGCCAGGCTGGGGGCTTTCTTCTTGCTCTCCCTGGACGTGTGAAGCAAAAGGGCTGAACGGGGCTAGAGCAAAAGGGGAAGGAAAAGGGGGGTGTTTCTCTCTCCCACCCCCCCACTGCTTCAAAGGCAGCCCTTTCCTTCTCCCAGAGAAAAGGCATTTACCTTAAAAAAAAGTCCCCACTGGATAGGAAGAGACGCAAGCTTCTGGCCTGGGAAAGCCAGGCAAGCTCTCCCCAGAGCGGTTCTGGCCCAGTGCATTTTAATAGCTGCACTTTTATGGAGAATCACACACACACAAAAAAGGACCGAGCCTCCTCGCACAGGGGGCTGAGGATTGGGGTGGGAGGTGTGCGTAGGGGGGCAGACTTGGGGTGGGGGGAGCGTGGAGCAGCAAGCCCTGAGTCAGTCCCACACAGAACTCTTTGGTCTTGACCTCGCTGCCCTGTAGGTAAGGAGTCACGGCTCCCCGTCTGGGCATCCCTACAGGGGGGTGTGTGCCCCTTGCTGCCCAAGAAGGTGGTGAGCGGACCACATAAATGGCTTTGCATCCAAACTTGTCCTTTCAGGTAGTCCCAGGCACCAGCCTCAACTGGCTGTCACCTCCACCTGCTTCCGACCGCTCCAGGCCTGGAGGACCTTAACCTGCCGGAGCCCAGTGCCCAGGGATGGAGACAGTAGCGAGACCCAGGGGCAGAGGGGAAGGTGTCAGAGACAGGCCTGCTTGCCTTCGCCCCTCTCCAGCCAGCCCTGGAAAGGCGACCCTGCAAACTTCAGCCCCTCCTGGACCAGGAGCGTCCAGCATCAGCCTGTCTCCTCTCTGGGGGAAGGATGGGGAGAGGCTGGGTAGGGGACGCCTACCTGCGTCTGGCAGCAGAGAATCAACAGCTGCAGGCACCTGTGTGGGGAGACGAAGCAGGCCGGGTATGGGTGCCCAAGGCCAACCCAGGGGCATACCCAGGCTCCCACCTCTGCCCCACCCTGCCCCACCTGCCACACTTGCATAGGAGTCCCCCGGAGGAGGCAGGGCTGCCCTGGGCTCGATGTGCAGCCCAGCTCCCCAGGAGGCAGGACACTTACACTGTGAGGTTGGGCAGCAGGCGGGCGGCTCCCATCGCTGGAGAGACTTCTTGGGGTGGTTGCCCCCTGCCCCAAACTCAGGAGCAGATATGAGCTGCCCCGAGGAGCCAAGGTCTCTCTCGGAGCCACAGGTTTTCAGGGGGGAGAGGAGGGGGGAGGGGAGGAGGGCGCAGCTGGGACACTGAGGTGTGAGGTGTCCACCTTCCCGGCCAGTGAGGCTGCAGAGCCAACGCCGGTGGGGCTGGTGCCCGTGTCCCCTGGGCTGCCAGTCTCGGGCCAGGCTGCCCAGGCCCTGGGGACGGAGCTGCAGGAGCTCTCTCGGTGCCTGGCTGCACCCGCGGGCTCCCGTTTTATTCCTGACCCTCACAGAGCTGCGGCCTCAGTGCGGGGCGTGTGGCAGGCAGGAGGAGGGAGGGGGGCACCGGCCCCCTTCCAGGGTCAGCTGCTCCCGCCCTCAGGCTCGGCGCCCCATCTCTCCAAGGCTGAGCTGCAGGTACCGAGCGGGGCTGGGGTTGGGGTTCTGGCTCGGGGTGGGAATTCCCAGAAGCAGCCTTAAAAGGAGGAGCCTCCCTCCAGGGGGCAGGGGTGGGCTTGGCTCGAGCAGCCGCTGGCGCGGCCTCTCGTCACCCCTAGCCACCGGGAAGGAGGGGTTAAAGCCGCTCTGCCTGGCAGCTAATAATGGGTGCCACAGGTTAGGGCCAGAGGTGGGGAGGAAGGTGCACCTGGGGGTCTTGGAAGGCTCCCTGAGAAAAGCTTCCCCGAGGCCTCTTCAGTCTCCTGAGAAACAGGGACAGCCATACCTCAGGGTGTTGAGGGACAGAGGGAGACACAGCATTTAGCAGGTCCAAAATCTGTAATCTGATCTTGATCTTCGGACTTCGACCCAGCGCCATTCACACCCCTACCCCAACCCCTCAGCCCCCACGCCCACCCCGTTTCCCCTGCAGCTCCAAACTTGACCTCCAGCCCTACTTTGCTCCGAACTGAGCCAGCGATCACTTTACAGGTGAGGAAACTGAGGCATGTTGATAGGTCATTTGCTCAGAATCGGCCAGCAGGGGTGGGGTGGGGGCGGTAAGCAGGTTTCCACACAGAGGGTGGCCACGCCCTCCACGGCCGCAACTCTGAGGTCCCAGGAGCTGGTGCTGGGGAGCTCTCCTCTGTCCCCTCCCTGCAGAAAGGTGGATGATGGGGACGTGGGAGGGTGGATGTTTGGGGCCTCTGAGGGAAGCCTCCTTCTAGGCTCTGGCTCCCTGGAGTTCTTAGCGCCCCGGTCTGGGGAACGCCCGGATGTAGACTTATTTACCTAACAGCTGACTGGGAGGCGAAACTCTCACCTTGCTGAGCTCCATCAATCCACAAAGCGGTCTGCCACCCTGCCCTCACACGCAGCACACACAAACACACGTGACCCTTGGGGCTCTGTCCAGCTCCGCCTGGAGTGAGCTGCCTGAGCTGGTTTGCATCAGGTGGTGTGAGCCCCTCCCCAAGGAACTGGGGGGGTCCAGGACTTTGGAATCAGATTCAGAGAATGTCAAGACTGAGGGGCTCTCAGAGCTCCCTCATCTGGCTCAACCATCCCATTGAGCTGGGGACACCCAGAGAGGGTAGAGGACTGGCCCCGGAAAGCTCACAGCTGGCGGGTGGCCCGGCTCGATGTCCAGGTGTGTGGCTACCCAGAACAGAGTCCTCTCTCCTCCAAACATGCTCCACCCTATCCCACCTCTCAGCCTTCGGTGATCCTCCTGGCCATTTCCATCTTTGCATTCTTCCCTCTGTCTGAGGCCTGCTCTAATCTCTGCATCTTTGGGGAGTTTCTCCCAATCCATCTCTCCATCTGCTTCTGGCTTAATTCTTTGGGAAAACGTTGCCTTCATAGCCTTCCCCACCAGCTCCCAGGCAGGCTGGGACACCTCCCCCCCTGCCCCCCGTGATGACTTTGCTTACTAAGGGTGAGATGGGGCCACAGGTCGGAGGGGACAGCTTAGACCTTGGGACCCGTGGCAGAGGAGTGAGCTGGGGGTGGAAGTGGGCATCGGGGTTCATTCACCAGGGGGGCATTCAGTAGTGCCCAAGGCCTCTGAGCCTGAGCATCTGCTTCCTGTTGGTGGGGACAGGGCCTGCTGTCACTGGCCAGCCTGGATCTCCGTGGTAACAGATGCCAGCAGTCAAGCTCGGCCTTGGGGATCTGCCAGAGGCTGGTGCCAGGGGGCTCTGGGGCATGGCAGGATAGCCCGCTTCACGGGTGGGTATCTGGCTCCCTGTGTCTTCCCACCCGCTCCTGCAGGCCTGCCTTTCTTGGCTTTTTGCCTTTGTTGCCATGGGAGAGCCAGTGGTGGGCTCCAAGTGTGTGTGGGACACACTACAGCTCAGACTCTGGACTTGTTCTCCATCCACACAGGCTGTGTGATCTGCAGCAAGTCGCTTCACTCCTCGGTCCTTAGCCTAGAAAAAGGACATGGCTACTCCTGATGCTGTCAAAACTGCCACTAGGAATGTCAACTTAAAGGACCCAGGGAGAAATATGAACGGCTTGGAGAGGACCCCAGGGGGTTCAGCTAGACCTGAGGGAGCTAGGTTGAGGGGAGGGCTCATTAACATTTACGGGGGGGGGGGATTGCCGGAGGTGAAGAGGGAAGTGAGAAGTGGCCAGGCTGCTGCCGCTAATCCCCACCCCCTAGTGCCAAGTTCAACACCCCCCAGCTGGGTCTGTCTCTCGCCTGCTCCTCTAACAGACCCTCACTGCAGAGCCCACCTGTGGACCTGCCACTTGTCACCACCTGCTTTGGCCCAGCCAGCCCTTTTCCTGTTGAAACACCAAGGGTTTGGGCAGGGGAAGGCAACGGGCACACTAGCTGAGCTATTTGATCCCTACTGGCTGCCTGCAGATCAAAATCAGATGAGCAGGATTTACTTGTGGAGTGTGGATCCTGCACTTGTCTGGGGACAGGAAGTACCTGTTGAATACCAGCTTGGCTAGTGCTGCCCCTCTGGACTCCAATATGGTCGGGCAGACTTCATTCTAACTCCCACCCTCAGTTTAGGAGGCTTCTGCATCCTCTAGCCCATCTCCCCTGCACAGTGATCAGACCCCTGAAGCCATACCTGGCATGGTGGTGCACACCTATAATGCAGGCATTCCGGGAAGCTGAGGCAGGAAGATTAAACATTTGAGCCCATTCTGAGCAACTTAATGACTTAGACTCTGTCTCAAAATAAGAGGGGCTAGTGATATAATTTAATGTGAGACCCTGGTGGGTTCAATACCCGCCCCCAAAGGTCAGACTGCTTAGCCTCCTTCCTTGTGCAATCTTGGGACAAAAACTCTTGGTGCCTCAAATTTCATTTGAGAAACCGGGGCTGATACCACCACCCTCAAGGTGTGCCTATGAGGATTAAAGGATTGAGTCTACGGAAGGTGCTTAGTGTTTTACTGGCTATTACTGCCAGTCGGATTTCTTCTCCCAGGCCCACCAAACTCATTCCTATCCCTAGGAGTGTCCTCTGCCAGCCCCGCCCCTGCTGGTCAGCTGCCTGCTCCAGGGCCTCCTCACCAAACTGCCCTTCCCACTGGGACATGAGCCTGTTCTACTTCCCAAAGGCCTGGAGAGTAACTGAAGTTTCGGTGCTGGTTGTGCTTCCTTTGGGCAGCACGTGAGGGAGGCACTGATTTCCTCTGCCCTGTGTGGCTGTTGCAGAAGCCAGGCTCAGTGAGCTCCAGCTGCCTAGCAGGTACCAGGGGAGCTGGCCAGGAGACCAAAGCCTGGTGCTGACCTTCTGCGTGGAGAACAAAGACCTTGAGCCTCCTGGGACCCTCACCTGGGGTCCTGGGCAGCCACCCTCTCACTTCAGGCCTGGCCACGGGCTGCTGGAGAGACAGAGCACTGCATGGAGTAGCCACCAGTGGGGGGCCATCTGCTGCCTGCCTGGGCCAGGGCCCAAGCCAGAGTCACCCACTGGTGCCTGGGCCTCCAAAGCCACTCCACTGGCCTGCAGAGGGTGAGAGGTTGGAGCCAGAAGGTGCTCACCACTCATTGCCTGTTGGCCTCACCCAGCATTTGGCTGGCACGTGGGGTCAGCATCCTAACACAGGAAACCTGGGAGGGTCCCAAAGATGCTCATGAGTACCTGTCATGGTGGTAGATGACGGATACATGACAGACACGGGCAGTACATGACAACTGCCCGAGGGCGGAGGCACTTTACAGGTAGGAGGAGGAGTAACAACCAGAAGAGGGCAGAAAGCCCACAGCAAACCTCGGCCAGCTCAGGGCTCAACGTTGGGGACTGGGCCACGGGGGCTTGTGGCCGTCGTGCTGGTTCGCGGACGCCCTCTGCCGGCTGCAGGGAAGAGGCGCAGAGTGCACGACAAAATAAACTTTATTGCGGCCCTGCGAAGCTGGCTAGGGCTCCTCTCTGCGGGGTCTCCTGACCCTGGGGCCTGGGGGTGCAGGGCTCCAGTGTGACTGTCATGACACCAGGCCACATTCGGGCTCAGGCGGAGGGGTGGGGGTAGCTGCACAGCACTGCTGGAGCAAGAGGTCTCCCTGGATCATGGGGTATCGCTGGCACCTCTCTTCTTAGGCTCCAGCTTCTTAGGTTGTTCTGAGGATTTGCTCTGTGGGGACAAGGGCCATCCCGCCTCCTCTGTTCCTGTCCCATCTCCCCAGAGCCCCGTGCCGCCCTCCTGCTCCTGCTCACCTTTTTTGAAGGGGTCTTGGACCTACTGCACCTACGCAAGAGAGAGGGTTCAGCTTGATGCCAGAAGCGGGGCACCCCTAGTGCTTCAGGGGTAGGGGGTGCTGGGGAGGCAGGGGACAGCTCTAGAGATGGAAGCTGTGGGGCTCATCTGTCCTTCTAGTCACTACCAGGGCCAGTCTGCCTTTGTTTTGTTGAGATCCAACTATGTAGCCCAGGTTGGCCTCCAACTCAGGGCCATCCTCCTGCCTCAGCCTCCAGACTGCTGGGATTGCAGGCATGCGCCCCACCACCATAGAATCGAAGGCCTTGGATAATGTCATGTATTTCTTAGTGTATGTACAGTGGCACCTCAGTTCCTGAATGCTTTTGTTTGTAAAACAAAAGGGCTTGGCAAAATTTGGTTTTTGTTTGCAAACTTTTTTTTTTTGGCACCAGGGATTGAACTTGGGACCTTGTACTTGTGAGGCAAGCGGCAGAACCACTGAGCTAAATCCCTGGCCATTTCCAAACTCTGCGTCAGGTGATGAACACAATGGTGGCCATCTTTTCTGCACAAACACAAATGTGGCCATCTTTCCCAGAATTGTGGAAAAAATTAGTTCCTGAATCCAGGTACCATTGTAATCTCCCCTTCACCTCATTCTTTGGAAGAAATTGCCTAACTGAATTAGGTCAGAAGAAAACATTTTCATGCTTTAAGAAGGTTATGCCAACCTCCAGAGCTGTAATCTCTGTTCGTGCACCACTCTTTCCAGCACTATGGATCTCACTGGTCTTGGTGGAGCATGCCTGAAAACCCAGCTATTCCGAGGCTGAGGCAAGAAGGTCACAGGTTCAAGGGCAGTATGAGCAATTTAGCAAGACCTGTCTCAAAATAAAAAATTAAGTGCTGGGTGTGGTGGCCGAGTAAGCCCAGCACTCAGGAGTCTGAGGCAAGAAGATTGCAGGGAATTCTAGGCCGGCCTAGGCTACATAATGAGTTCAAGTACAGCCTAGTCTACATAGCAAGACCTATCTCAAAAACAAAATAAAAAATTAAAAGGGCTGGGGATGTAGCTTAATGCTTCCTGGGTTCAATCTCCAATAGCACACATGTACACAAAAATTTTTTAAAGATGGAAAGAGTTACCTTGAATCCTCATCTTCTTTTTCGACCTTTTTTTTCTGGGAACCAAAAGGCCAGGCAGGCATTAGTAGGAGAGGAAGGGTGAGGCCTAGGCCAGAACAGCCTCTGAGCCCTACTCGCACACTCCCTCGGGGCAGGACTTGGGGGACATGAGCTTGGCCCATGCCACAAGCCCAACTCGAAGCCTGGCCCGGGCTCCAGATGCTGGTCGGCCCTCCCCAGGTGTTCTGCAGCACCCAGGCACTTAAGGCAGCCTGCTCTTTCCCACACCTTGGCAGCGCTGCTCTGCTTCCCTGGCACCGGCCTTTTGAGTCGTTTGGCTGGACTCTCCTCCATGGACACCTCCGCCTCAGGGTCCTCCTCCTCCTCCTCCTCCTCCTCCTCCTCCTCCTCCTCCTCCACCTCCTCCGCTGCCTCCTCTTCCCAGGTGGGGTCTGAGGATTCTGCAGTGGCACCAGCAGGGGCGGGAGAACCAGACCCAATGCTCCTCTCCCATCCCAGACCTCTGGGCTCCTGGGGGGACCTTCGGGAACCCCCGAATGGGGTTGAAAGTGTTCACCTGCCACCTGCCGGCGGGGGGCACACACAGCATCGGGAAGTCCAGGAGGGGGTTGGGAGGAGGAGGGCAGGGAGGAGGAAAGGATGGGGATGAGGTCAGAAGAGCAGGGGCAGGTGAAGGCAGCCTGCAGTTGCCAGGGTTGGGTCAATTCTACAGCTTCCCTTGACTGGCAGCCGGTGTGTAAGTGCTGCTGAGTGCTAGGTGCTATGCTAGGTGCTCCTTATGAATCTTCTGTTTCTCCAGGCAGCTACTCTTGATGATGCCAGGGCAGCCCCCTCTTGGTGACACCTTACTCTTGAGGCTGAGGCCACAGAGGACGGGGCAGGGAGGTGAAGGGGTCCTGGGCTCAGGACTCTTCCACGACCTCAGGTACTAGCAGTGGCGTTGCCTTTGGGGTTTTGTCCCTCGGTGTCCCCAGGGTTGCCCCTCTCCCAGGCCCGCAGTGCTCCCAGCCCTTTTTAGCCCCAGCTCACACTCACCATAACACTCCTGGCCACTGAGGAACACAGGACCTGAGCCGGCCCGCAGGTGAAACATGACTGGGGGAGAAAGCGTGACACCCGCCATGGCCACCTGCAGCGGGAGGGGTGCGGGACAGGGAGCACTCAGGCTGGCAAGGGGACGCTGGCCTGGGCCGAGGCTTGGATGGCTGTGTGGACCGCGGGCACCCCCAGCCGCCTGCGGAAGTAGGGTCCCTATGGGAAGAGCCTGATCCTCCCGTTCCCTGGGGACCACAGACTGGCATCCGAGCTGAGGGCTAAATGTGCCCTCCCCTCTGGATCACCCAACCCTCAATGAAGTGGCACTTTGGGAGGAGATCGGGTCAGATGAGGTCATTGCTGAGGCTTGTGATGGCGTTAGTGTCCTTATTTTTGAGATAGGATCTTGCTGTGTGGCCCAGGCTGGCCCTGAATTCACTATGGAAAGTAGCCCAGGTTGACCTCACACTCATGGTGATCCTTCTGCCTCAGCCTCCCAAGTGCTGAGATTACACGTGTGCACCAACAAGCATAGCAGATTAATGTCCTTATAAGGAGGGACATCGGAGAAGACACTCTCTCTGAGTCCCAGACTGAGGAGGGGACCATCTATAAGGGAAAGAGCCCTCACCAGAACCCACCCCAGCACCCTGATCTGGTGTTTTTGTTATGTCAGCTGAGCCTACTGAGATGATGGTCAAATGGGAAAGCAGATTGAAGCAGGTGTTTGGTACTACTTGGTCTTACAGGAAGTGGATGACTATGAGTATGAATAAGGTTAGAAAGACAACGCACTAATGATAACTGTTAGAGGATAGGAAGGTATCAATTCCCTTTATAATTTCCCAAGCTTTCCAAATTTTCTATTTCTTCTTTTGAGGTGCAGGTCTCACTGTATTGTTCAGGCTGGTCTTAAACTCCTGGGCTCAAGTGATCCTCCTGCCTCAGCCTCCTGAATAGCTAGGACTAAAGGAATGTACCACCATGTCCTGGCTCAAATTTTCTACAATAAGGACTCTAATTTATACTTTTTGAGCGTCTGCTACATGCCAGATACCATGGTAAGTGTTTTACCTTCTTTCTCTCTCTTTTTTTGGTGCAGTACTGGGGATTGAACTCAGGACCTTCACACTGAACTACATCCTAGGCCCTTTTTAAATTTTATGTTTTGATTCCAGCACTCTGGGAGGCAGAGGCAGGAGGATTGCAAGTTCGAGCCCAACCCGGAAACTTTAACAGAATCTTGTCTCAAAACAACATGACTGAGGGTGTAGCCCAGGGCAAAGACCCTGGGGATCACCAAGGAATCCTGGCTCCCAGGACACTGGGTGTCAGTGAGGGAAGAACATGGTCCCTGTAAGAAGAGGAAGAAACCAGATGAGCTCGAGGCAGCCCTGGCACACACTCCGGATGGTTTCCAGGCCACAGTACAGGAGGGGGGAGCCAGGGGGCCCAGGAGACCCCTGCATTGAGGACATGCAATTGGGGACTGGGAGAAGCTGGAGTTCATAGAGTCAAGCACAGGAAACCTAGAACTGTAGAGGTCTCAGACAGCCCCATCTGACCGATTCAGTGAGGCAGTCACCACCATGGGAGCCGGGAAATGAGCTAAGACCGCAGACAAAACCACACGAAAGGCACCGGCACTGGAGCTCAGAGAAGGCTAGGAATGTCCTGTGTCTAATGAGCACAGTGGGAAGTCCTGTGTGTCACAGGCATCTCAGAGGGCGAGGGAAGCCCTAGCCAGAGTCATGGAAGTAGGGACCTACAGCTTTGGACCCACATAATAAAGCTTAAAACAAGACCCCCAAAGCATTGAATGGTATTTAGGTAACCTGACTGTATCCCACAACAAAACAAGAATAATTTTTTTCTTTTTTTGAGACAGGGTCTCACTACATAGTTCAAGCAGGCCTTGAACTCACTATATAGCACAGGCTGGCCTGGAACTCACAGTGATCCTCCTGCCTCAGCCTCCCAAGTGCTGGGGTTATAGGTGTGCACCACTACGCTTGGCTCAAGAATATTTAGAAAAGTATAAAAATAGCCTGCATCCTACAAGGTAAATTTTATGGCTAGCATTCAACTGAAAATTGCTAGACAGAAAATGAACCAATAGGCTTCAACACACAATGAAGAGAAAAAAAGTCATTTAAACTGATGTTAGGGAAAGGAGCACTACCTGTAATCTCAGCTACTCAGAGCAGGAGGATTGCATGTTCAAGGCCAGTTTAGGGAACTTAGTGGGGTCCTGTTTCAAAATAAAAATAAAAAGGGCTGGGTGTGTAGCTCATTGATAGAATGGCCTATCTTAGCCTCTGAGGTAGCTTGATTACAGGTATGTGCCACTACACTACACCCAGCTAACAAAGTCTTTAAAACAAAGCTAATAATGTAGTGGAAGATTTATAGCATACGTAGTTGTAAAATTTATTACAGCAATAAAAACAAAGGGTGAGAAGTAGACTTCTTTTTTTTGTACCAGGGACTGAACTCAGGACCTTGTACTTGCAAGACAGGCAGCGGCACCACTGAGCTAAATCCCCGGCAGACTTCATATTATTAAGTCATACATTAAGCAGTATAATATTACTGTAAATTAAACATTGGGGGGTGGGTTCTGAGGATTGAACCCCGGGCCTTTGTACTGAGCTATATCCTTAGATTTTTTATTTTTCACTTTTTATTTTGAGACAGGATCCCACTAAGTTACTAAATTGCCCAGGCTGGATTCAAAGTTGCTGTGGTCCTCCTGCCTCAGACTCCCAAAGTGCTGGGATTATAGGTGTGAGCCACCACACCAGACATGAACATAAAGTCTAAGTGTAAATAAAATATTTGGGCCGGGGATTTAGCTTAGTGGTTCCAATGCCTGCCTCACAAGCTCAAGGTCCTGAGTTTGATCCCCGGTACCATAAAAAAAAAAAAAAAATTCACCAAGAGAATATATTTTGGGCCATAACAAATCACAACACATTTTAGACTGAAATATCAGTTATATTTTCAGACCACAATGGAATTATACTAGAAATCAATTAAAGAATCTTAGAAAATCCACAATTATTTAGAAATTTAAAAATATGTATACTTCTGGGCCAGGGATTTAGCTCAGTGGTTCTGTCGCCTGCCTTCCAAGCTCAAGGTCCCGGGTTTGATCCCTGGTACCATAAAAAAAAAAAAAGTATAAATCTAAATATTCTGGAGGTCAATGCAAGCAACTAGGAAATAATTTGAACTGAATGAAAATAAAAACATTACTTATCAAAATTTTTGAGTTGAATCTGGAAAGTTGCTTAGAAGGAAATCAGTGCATGAAATGCTTGTATTATACAAAGAAGAAATATTTAAGGGCTGGGGATTTAGCTCAGTGCTTCTACCACTTGCCTCGCAAGCACAAGGTCCTGAGTTCGATTCCTGGTACCAAAAAAAAAGAAGAAGAAATATATATATTTTTTTCAGTGCCGGGGATCAAACTTGGGTCCTTGCACTTGCACAGCAGGCGGCGAAACTACTGAGCTAAATCCCCAGCTCAGAAGAAATATTTGAAAAAAGAAAGAGACAGGTGTGGTGGTGCATGCCTGTAATTCCAGAACTTGGGAGGCTGAGGCAGGATGATCACCACGAGTTCAGGGCAACCTGAGCTACATAGTGAGTTCAAACCCAGCCTGAACTACATAGTGACACCCTGTCTCAAAACACACACACACACACACACACACACACACACACACACACACACACGCTTCTTCTATTTGTGGTACTGGGGATTGAACTCAGAACCTTTGCCCTGAGGTATATCCCTAGCCCTTTATTTATTTTTTGGTACTGAGGGTCAAACTCAGGACCTTGTGCTTGTGAGGCAGGCAGCGGCAGCACCACTGAGCTAAATCCCCCGCCCTATTTTTTATTTTTGAGACAGGGCTCCACTAAGTCACCCACGCTGAGCTCAAACTTTCAATTCTCCTGCCTCAGCCTCCCAGTGAGCTGGAATTAAAGACATGAACCACCATGGCTGCCTTTAATACCCACTCTCGATAAAATATCTCAGTAAAGTAGGATTGGGTGGGAACATCCTCACCTGATACAGGACATTTACAGAAATTCTCCCCAAGGGTGAAAGTTTGAATGCTTTTTCCTTCTAATCTGGAACAAAGCAAGGATGGTCCTGCTCTTACCACTTTTATTCAAAATTATACCTGAGGTCCTAATCAGTGAAGATCAGAACTCGAGGGATATGGAGGTATGCAGATAAAGTTTTCATAGCTGTTAGTCACAGATGACACAAATCTTTATATAAAAGTTGAAGGAATCAATAAAAATGTAAATTTAGCAAGGTCATATGATATGGACAATTAGCTATGAACTATTAAAACTAGCTATGAACAATTAGAAAATGAAATATTTAAAAAAATTTTTTGTTTTGCAACAAGGTCTCATTATGTAGCCCAGGCTAGCCCTGATCTGCCTGCCTGCCTCAGCCTTCTGAGTGTTGGGATTACAGGTGTGTGCCACTTAACCCAGCAAAATGCCATTTTTGTAACTCAGAGCATATACAAAAATTAACTCTGGGTTCGGCATTTAGCTCAGTGGTGCTGTGCCTGCCTGGCAAGCACAAGGTCCTGAGTTAGATTCCCATTACAAAAAAAATTAATTCAAAATGGATCTTGGTTGTTTTATTTATTTATTTATTTATTTGGTACCAGGGATCCAACTCAGGACCTTGCGCTTGCGAGGCAGGCAGTGGCACCACTGAGCTAAATCCCCAGCCCACTCAAAATGGGTCATAAATTTAAATTTAAGAATTTAAGAATCTCCTCAAAGAAAATGTAGGATTAAGTCTTTGTGACCTTGATTTAGGCAATAGTTTGTTAGATTCAATGCCAAAAGCACAAGCAACAAAAGAAAAAATATGTTAAGTGGACTATATCACAATTGAAAACCTTTAGCCTGGTATGATGGTACACACTATCTCAGTTACTCAGGAGGCTGAAGTAGGAGGATCCTCAAGTCCATGGGCAACTTACCAAGACGGTCTCAAAATAAAGGGCTGGGGATGCAGCTCAGTAGTAGAACACTTGCCTACCATGTTCTAGGCCCTGGACTTCATCTTTAGTATGGAAAAATATCAAACCAAGCCAAACAAATAAAACAAATGAAATCCCCACACTTTTGTGTAATCAGGAAAGTGAAAGAGAAACTACAGAATGGGAGAATTGTTGCAAATGACATCATTAGGGACTTGTATGCAGCATATATAAAGAACTCATACAGCTCAATAGCAGAAAGACAAATATTAAAATAATTAAACCCAATGAGAGAAAAATGAGAAAAGCTTTGACCAAACAATTCTCCAAAGACACACAAATGGCTGACACAGAATGAATGGTGTGAAGTATGGTGTGAGGTCAGGGAGCAACAGGATTCTCGAACACAGCTGTAGGATGTGAAAGAAAGGGTGCAGCAATTTGGAAACCACCTGGTGCTCAGTATGCAGTTGAGTGTGTGCTTACCATATGACCCAGCTGTTCCAGGCCTAGCGACATGCCCAAGAGAAGAGAAACGTTTTCACATGAAGACTCACACTCAAATGTTCACTGTGGCCTCATGCACAACAGTCTAAACCTGGGGACTAGCAGATGTGCGTTACCACGGACATGGGGCCATAGCAGGGAAACTGCCCCAAAGTAAAAGGAGCGCCTTATAGTTTTACCCATGTGGGTAAATCTCAACTATGCTAAGCAAAAAAACAGGCCACATACTATATGGTTCCATTTAAGGGAAATTATAAAAAAGGTAAAACTATAGAGATCCCATGCCTATTTTGGCACATACCTGTGATCCCAGCACTTGGGAGGCTGTGACAGAAGGATGGCCATGAGTTCATGGCCAGCCTGGGCTAAAGATCGAGACCCCGCCTCAAAAAAAAAACAAACCAAAAAAACCAAAGCCAAAACAAAGCAAAAAATACAACAGTTTAAAAACACACATATTAATCTCCCATTGCTCATTCATTCAATTGCACACTCGTTACATGGAGTCCCTGCTGCAGGACAGGTGCTATTAGAGGGGCATCGCTGGGATGCAGGACAAAGACAAGACACAACTGGAAACTGACGCTGGTAGTGATGAATCCTATGGAAGGGGGGCAAAGTAACTACAGGCAAAAGAGGAGGGCAGGGAAGACCTCTTTGATGTCACTGGAACTGCTGAGTTCCAGCAGGAAGCCAAGCCAAGCCACGGGGAAGCACAGCAGTGTTCCTGGCACGGGGGAAGGAAAGGCAATGACCCAGAGGACAGGATTTGTGTAGAGTTTTCAATGCAGAGTCATGGAAACCAAGGTGGTTTCAGCTGGGTTAAGGAGGGGAGAGGAGCAAGGCCTATGAGGCAGGAGGCGAGGGTCCCGGGGACCGGGGTACAGCTGGGGAGGTAGTGACATGCAGTTGAGCCAACTGGAATTGCTGGGAGAGCAGATATGGGATGGGAAAGACATTTTTGTCCTGATTGGCAGAAAAGGCTTTTTACTGAGAAAGGATGGAAAGGCGGTTGTAGATAAAAACCAAGAATTTGGATTTAGACATGTTATGTCTAGGATTTCTATTAGATGTCTCCGAAATATATTGAGTTGGATGTAGGACTGGAGCCCAAGACTCAAGCCGTGTTGACAGAAACAAGTTTCAGAGCCTGATTTGTATGGAGGGCCTTTAAAACCTCCAGAACAGGGCACTCCTCCAAGGGAGGCAGTGTGGACAAAGAAAGCAAGTGTGAGAGGCTGTCACAGGGGACTCCCCCAGCTCCCAGGACAGCCCAGCCTGGGCTGGGGTCACTGCTCCAAGAAACACAAGGAGCGAATCTCCATCCTTGGTTCATGAGGCTTCTATGCTTTCACCCAAGTAAGATAACTTACAGGCCAACTTCACTGATGAAAACAGAAATAAAAACAGGAAGAAAAGTCTCAATCTACGAGGAAAACAAATGTAGAATTTATATGCTCAAGTAGTGTTTATCCCAGCAATGAAAGAGATTAAAATACTATATATATCTTACCATATTAGTGGAATAAAGAAGAAAGAACCCAAGTTCATGAGTAGAAAAGCATTTGATAAAATTTAACCACTATTCACAATAAAAATGTTAGGTTTTTTGTTTTGTTTTTTTAAAAGCAGAGTAGGATCAGACAGTGGCATCCTTAACTCCACAAAAGTCTTCTGCCAAACACTTCATATTTAAGAGAAATGCACTGGACACGTTCCTTTTTTAAAAAAAAAGCATCAGGAAGGAGCTGGGTGTGGTGGCGTAGGTCTAAAATCCCAACTCTGGGAGGCTGAGGCAAGAGGATCACAAATTTGATCCCAGCCTGGGCAATTTACCAACTTAATGAGACTCTGACTCAAAGTAAAATGTAAAACAACAGCTGGAGAGAGAAGTGTGAAGGTCATAGGTTTAATTTCTAGAACTGAAAAAAAAAAAAAAAAAAAAAAAAAACCTGGAAGGAAGGCTACCAGCCACTATTGCATTTATCCAAAAGAGAGGGTCCCCAAGTTTCCATAGTTAACTCATGATTTCTTTTTCTTTTTCTTGTTTTGGCAGCTGGGATCAAACTCAGGACCTTGCGCTTGCCAGGCAGGCGGTGTGCCACTGAGCTACATCCCTGGCCCTATGATTTCTTGACTTCACAATGGAGCGAAAGCTATAGTATTCAGTAGAAACCATACTGAACTATGAATTTGGGATTTCCCCGGGCTAGTATGATTCCACACTGATGAATTCCAAGATGAATTTCTGGATACATAACCAGATTGAAGATTACCAGTGTCCCTATGACGAGCAGCACAGCTTAAAACTAACTTTTGGGCCGGGGATTTAGCTCAGTGCTTCCGCCTCAAAAGCACAAGCACACGAATTCGACCCCCGGTACCAAAAAAACACAATTTGTGAAGAGAGGTCACGTGACTCGCCCTGGTCAAGCGGCTGTGCCCAGGAAAGGGTGCGCTGGGGTGCAAAGCGGGATTTTAGTCACGTGCCGCTGCCCCTCCAGCGCAGCCGGGCTTGGGTGGCACGAAGGCGCCGCATTAGCGTCCAGGCCAACCCGAGGGGGAGCCCAGGTACATGGGCAGGGGGAGCTTACCATGGGCAGGACAGACACCTTCAGCGTCGCAATGGTGACAGACGGCGTCTTCTTGTCCGCCTGGGTTGTCTGGGGCAGGATCTCCACGCGGTTCACCTCCTCCTTGGCTCTCTCCCCCAAGCAAACCTGAGAGGGGTTGACAGAGGCGCCTCGTCACCCTGAGCGCACACGGGGGAGTCGACTGTCACGCGCTGGGACCAGAGCATCCGCAGGCCGGCACCCACCGCACTGAGCACCAGCCTGCAGCTCTCCTTCTCCTCCACCTGGGGCCGGAAAGTGCAAGTCCGCCTCTCGTTGTTGAGCTCAGCGCCTGCCGAGGGGCGAGGGGCGGAAGTGGGCAAGGGGCCCAGGGAGGCTCCCAGCAGCCCGCAGCCCAGGCTCCGGGCCTCAGCCCCACTCACCCCAGGGCACGGTCCTTCCTGCCTTGCCCTCCATGCCGTCGGAGCTGCGGCGCCTCCTCTTGGAGGGCACGGTGGGGTGGCCGGGGAAGCTCTGAGAAGGGGCCCGCTGGGACCTCAACAGTACCTGCTCCCTGCTGCGCGACCCCGGAGCCTGGTTGGCAGAGTGTAAGGCCAGGCCTCAGCTGCAGCCTTCACAGCCAAGGGCTCAGGAGCAGCTCCTGAAGGGCAAGGCCCCACTGTCCCACTGGGAGCCAGGAACAAGCTTTCCCCGGGCCTCTCTCAGCCTCTCCACGCTCAGGTCAGGCCATGGGTCCTCCCAGGCCCTGCAGCCGCACCGACTCCCTGCAGGGCAGCTGCCCACCCCAGGCTGTTAAGAAGCCGGGAGGGAAAGGGGGGTTGCGTTCTTCCCGGCTTTCCAACCCCTGTGCTCCAGTCACCTGCAGGCTGTTAAAGCCCTCATCGCTGGGCCTTACCTCCCATTCACAGGCCTAGGAGGGTCGGGAGAATTTGCATTTCTAACAAGTGCCCAGGTGAAGTTGCTGCTGGCCCAGGAGTTCCCGGTGAGGGCCCCTGAGGGTGGGGATTTACTGAGGCCTGGTCCCAGGTAAGGAGGGGCCCATACCGCTTGGCTTAGAGATACCAGAGTGCCCATTTGCCCTGTGAGGTCTGAGAATTCTGATTGCCCTGCATCTTCACCACATCAGGCATTGTTAGTCTACAAGCTGTCAGTCATCCTAGCCCATGTATTTCATTTGCTAGTTGTGTAGCTCACTGTGGTTTTCAATGTGTATTTCCAGGCCAAGCATGGTGGCACACACCTGAATCCCAACACTCAGAAGGCTGAGGCAGGAGGAGCAGTTCGAGTTGGAGGTCAGCCTGAGGTACATAGTGAGTTCAAGGCCAGATTGAACTACATAGCGAGACCCTGTCTCAATAAAAAATGAAATGAATCTTGAGTAACAGAAATTTCAAATTCAATGAAGCCCAATCTTTTTTTTTTCCTTACTTTTTAGTGCTGGGGACTGAACCAGGTAGAACTAGGCAAGCCTTCAGGCCACACCCCCATATCTTTTGTCCTTCCTTTACGGCACACGCTTTGGGTGTCCTAAGGTATCACTGCCAAACTCAAGGGCCTGAAGTCTTTTTCCTATGGTTTTCTAGAAGTTTTGTAGTTTTAGCTTTTATTATTCTACAGTACCTCTTTTTGCAGACAAGGTCTCGCTATGTAGCCCAGGCTGGCCGTGACCTCCTGGGGATTTTCCTGCCTCAGCCTCCTGAGTACTAGGATTACAGACATGCACCACCATGCCCGGCTTTACAATACGTTTTGAGTTAATTTTTGTGAATAGTGTTAGGTAAGGATCCATGTTCACCTCGTCCTCGTCCAGTAGGACCAATTTCAAAACATATACTTTCCTATTGATTAACACTGGCATCTTTGGTAAACATCAACCATCTATTCAGTCTATTTCTAGACTTTATTCTGTGTCATTGGTCTTGGTGTCTACCCTAGGGGCAACACCACACTGTCTTTTTTTCTTTTTTTTTCCTTACCAGGGATTGAACTCAGGACCTTGCACTTGCCAGGCAGGAGTGCACCACTGAGCTACATCCCTGGCCCTACACACTGTCTTATTAAAGCTTTAGAGTAAATCTTCAAATCATGAGCCCTCCAACCGTTTTTCTATTTTAACAATGTTTTACGTACCTATTCCAGATTCTTTGCATTTCACATAAATTTTTTTTTTTTTTTTGGTGGTACTAGGGATCAAATTCAGGACCTTGCACTTGCAAGGCAGGTGCTGTGCCGCTGAGCTAAATCCCTGGCCCTTTAAAATTTTATTTTATTTTATTTATTTTTTATTTCACATAAATTTTATAGTGAGCTCATCAATTTTTATAAAAATAGCTTTTTGAGATTTTTCTATTGGGATTTTGTTGACTGCAAAGATCAACGTGGGAATAATTAACATCACAGTATTTTTTTCCCTTTCAGTACTGGGAATTAAATGCAGGGCCTCACATGTACCAGGTGAGCCGTCTGCCACTGAGCGACATCAATCAGCTCCAGTGTCACATTTCTGAGTCATCTCATCCATAAACATATCACAATCTACTTAGATTCTTGAACTTTTTCAACGTTTTATAAGTAGTTTTTCTTTTGGTATCAGGAATTGAACTCAGGACCTTGCACTGGCCTGGCACCACTGAGGTACATCCCTGGCCCTAATTTTTTTTTTTTTTTGAGAAAGAGTCTCCCTATGTAGTTCAGGCTGGCCCCAAAATCAAGACAATCTTTTTGCCTCAGCCTCCTGAGTGCTGGGATTATAGGCATGCACCACCACGCCCAGATTTCAGTATATATAGGTCTGGCATCGCTTTTGTTAAATTTATTCCTAAGTATTTCATGTTTTGGATGCAACAACAAATGGTCTGTGTTTTAAAATGTCATCTAGATGTTAGTATATAGAAAATTTTTTTCCTTTTTTTTTGTTTTTGCAGGGTTGGGGACTGGGCTCTTGAGCATGCTAAACAATTGGTTCTTATATATTGGTTTTGTATTGTGAATTTGCTAAATTCAATTTATTAGTTCTAAAAACAAAACAAAATCCCAATAAGCTTTGAAAGTTAAGAGCTCCCCCCTCTTCCCTGCTTCCCCTCTTCCCCTCTTCAGAAATAAGTACCATTCATAGTTCTTGGTGAATCCTCTTGAACTCTAAAATTCTGTAACATGTGGCGTATTTGCTAATATACCAAGAATGTTAGATGGTACCTGCTTTCCCAGCATATTGCTAACTTTATCTAAAACTTTGTAACATAGATATGTCTCCCCATTTTTAAATATGCTTCAACCAAAAAAAAAAACCAAAAGAAAAAAATTTATTAGATCTAGTAGTTTTTCTGTACTTTAAATCATGACACCTGGGAATAGTAAGTTTTACTTTTCTGATCATATAGATGTGTGCCTCTTCCTTGTTATGCCTTATTGATTTGGTTAGGACATCTGGTAAAATGTTGAATAGAGCCAGGAGCTGTGGCACACTCTTGTCATCTCAGCATGGAGGGAGGCTGAGGCAGGAGGATCCTAAGTCTGAGTCCCATGTGGGCCTTTTTTTTTTGTATTGAGGATCAAACTCAGGACCTTGCACTTGCTAGGCAGGAGGTGGCACCACTGAGCTAAATCCCCAGCCCTTGCCCCTTACCATGTAGGCCATTCAACAAGACCTTGTCTCAAAAATAAAAAAGGGCGTGGGAATTGAGCTCAGGGTGGATGTTGGTGGTAGGCTTTTTGTAACTGTTCTTTATCAGGTTAAGCACCCTACCCTCCTCTCCCCAACACCTTCTCCACCCGTTATGGGGTGTTTCTCACAGCAGCTTGCCCAGGGCACTGACCTCCAGAACCCGGGAGTGGAAAGAAGAGGAGAAAAGAATGCTTCTATTCCTAGTATGCTAGGAGTGTTTTTTAAAAATCATGAATAAGGGCGTGGCGGCACATGCCTGTAATCCTAGCATTTGGGAGGTTGAGGCAGGAGGATCTCTGGGAGTTTGAGGCCAGCCTGGGCTACACAGTAAAATCATGAACAAGTATTGAATTTTGTCACATTTTTTTCCTTACTTATTGGGATGATCCATTATTTCTCCTTTTATGAATTACATTTATTGATTTACATATTTTGAATGCTAAATCAACCTTACACTCTTTTTTTTTTTTTGGTACCGGGGATCAAACTTGGGTCCTTGCACTTGCGAGGCAGGCGGCGGAACCACTGAGCTAAATCCCCGGCCCAACCTTACATTCTTAAAATCAATTTCACTGGGTCTTGATATGTACTAGTGGATTTGATCTGCTTACATTTTGCTAAGAGGTTTTGCATTTGAATTCATGAAAGGTATTAACCTAGAAAGTTCCCCTCCCTCCTTTGAATGTCTTTGGTTTTGGTATTTTGGAAATGCTTGTTTAGTGCAATGAGTTGGGAAGTGCTCCCTCTTCTTGTACTGTTCTTGTGTGACTGGAATTATTTCTTCCGTAGAAACCAGTTTTTGCCGTCCCACAGACGCTGCCTGCAAGAGCCAGGAATTGTCTTTGGCTCTGCGCCCTGCACCGGCCCCCGTGGGAACCTGGGAACCAGACAAAAATCACCGCTCCTCTCCTAACCCAGGTGCTCTGAGGCCTGTTGGTCGCATTTCTCTTATTACTACTCAATCTCTCCTTTCATCCTTCGCCTCGGCTCCCGTGTAAACCTGCCCACCAGCGGGTACAGAGTTTGGTCTCCAGGCTCCTTTGCCAACAGGCCTGTGGGAATCTGAGACAGTCCCAGCCTTAGTGTCCCATCTGTCACCCAGTCTGTATTCTCCCTCCAGCCGTATTATTCCTGCAACGCCTACAAAGATGAACGCTTCTGGCCTTCCCCACGGGCTATTCCCTCCCCGCAGGGCTGCTCTGGGTGCTCCTCCTGCGCTGCGCACCGCGCTTCCCCCTGTTTGCCGGCTCCACCTAGTTCTTGCAAGCCAGGGACCCAGTCCTTAATCCCTGCACCCCAACTGTGAGACGGGGCTTCCGCGATTACCACTGAGGATACTGGTCGTGAGGCCGTGGTGTGTGTAAACTTGAACTTCTTGCGAGCACACGGCCGCGTGTGGAGTCTCCCTGGGAACACACCCTGGGAGAGCAGCGAACAGGGCCCCAGCACACACCCTCAAGCCTACAGCAGCACCTAATCCCGACTGCGCCTGCGCGGGGCGCAAGGGCGGGGCGAGCAGTTCGAGAGGACTAAACTCGGAGCAGGCTGTGCGCGCAGAGGCAACACAGACGGAGCGACACCAATTCCAGGACGCGCGGAATTGCTTCCGGGGCGTGTGTCCGCGGCTTCCGACGGAGCGCGAGTGCGGCTGGGGGTCAAGTTAGGCGGTCCCAAGCACAAACTGTCGCGTTTTCGCTTAGTCTAGGTGGGACGGTGGCAGCGACTGCTGCTCTTTTCCTTGCGGTAGAAGCCTGTGGTAACGATGTGAATTTAACTGGCCCGAGTCAGGCGGCCTGGGATCTCTGAGCAGGGGCTTCACTCAAGCGTTTCACCTGCTTTCTCCATCCGCCACTTGCCATCTTTTGTAGACATTCCCATGGCCCAGAAACAACACGTCCTTGTCACTAGTCCTGGCATGATCTGATCGTCCAGTTCTAGGGTTCTAGCTCGTAAGGAGCACATTTCAGTTGCTAGGATAGGCAGGGGTGAGGTTAGGAACAGCCCAAATACGCGAGTAGGTCCTAAGGATCAGGATTGGGACAATAGCGCGCGAGAGTGGGGGGCGACATCAGAGACTGAGTGCGGCTCAACTTGGGGTCCTGAAAAGGATAGGTGAGCAAAGGGCACGCCAGTTTAGACTGAGAGGAAAGGGCTCTGCAGCCAGGAAAAGGCAGGAGTGGATGCAGATGTTTTG